CGGGTCTTGGGGATACCTCGAGAGCTTGGCTCAATTCTACCCTGAACTTTTGTTGGATGGTTTCACTACCCAAATCATGTTTCACATTTTGGGGTTGGGCAAACCCTATATATAGACTGTCTTTCTAGTGCAGCTTTTGGGGGCTGGGGAAACCTTCAAGGCCAACCCTCATATTAGAAGACTTGTTTGGGGCATGGTTCCAAGATTTAAACCCAAAATCAGGTTTTCGTGCTTAGGGCAAACCCGTGAACGTGTTTTATAGTGCAACGTTTCCGGGCGGGGGAAACCGGCCAACCCTCAAATTAGCTTATTATAAAAGGGGGATTGTAATTTGGGGTTGGGCAAACCCAGGAATGTGTTTAGTGCAACTTTTGGGGCTGATGAAAACAACATTGTGTATTGGTGGATGGTTTAAAACCACCAAATCACGTTTTACATTTTGGGGTTGAGCAAACCCAGCTGTGCAGGAGTTTGTTGCATGTGTACTGAGTGTACTGGAATCTACCCTGTTTACAATGTAGGGATCCCGGATCCAGTTGTGGGAAACCCAAGAAATTTCATTAATCCAAAGTTGGGTTGTGCAATCCCGGGAACATGTTTCTTCTTTTCGGGCTAGGGAATTTGAAACAATTAACATCCGACCCTGTAAGGTGTTGTGGGATGGTAGCTGGGAAGCTCAAATTTCAAATTGGGCAACCCCACAAACCTCCTTTATTTTGGGGCTGGGGAAACACTGCACTTTTCCAGGCCGACCTGTTTTGGGTTTGGGGGAGTAAACCTTAGCTGGCCATCACGTAGCCGTGCTTGGGGTTCATTTGTGGAAATAGGAGGCCCCTCAAAGTTTTTGGTGCCCGTTTTGGGTAGCCCTGCGTGCAGGCCGATGGATCGATCGCTCGATCGCCTAGGCTTGCCTCTGTCGCGGTTCGTGCTCTGCGTGCTGCGGCACGAGTACATCCTGGGGGTGCAGACGCTGGACCCGGTCTGGAGGACAATAGCGTGGTCACTTAACGTGATTTGGTGGCATCATGCGGGGCTCCCTGTTAAGGGAATAGTCACCAACATGCCATATGTGGGGTGTGAGATTATGATTATCACTCTAAATCGTCAAGTTTGTTGACAGAAGTTTGGAAATTCAAAACATGTACATGCTTGGCCTCATCGATCTAAGGTAGCCTACGGCGGAGTGTTCCCCTCTGTTGGACCTGCTGGCCAGCAGCTGGACTCTGCAAGGGGGCGGCGATCTGGCCGTCGCATTGCAGGAGGAGATATGTTGGTGCTTGAAACTAGGATTGTGTCCGACCATTGAGGTGATAGAAACTAGCAGTGCACTAAAAACACTGAACAAGTGTTGGAATTCTGCACTGGTCCCACAAGAATTGCACCATGGTATACCGCTGTTAAACAAACATGCCCTGTAGGCCCCTATGCACTTACCGAGTGCCGGGGGGACTGGAAGTGGCACAAGGAGTCATGGGACCTTCGTTACTGGTACCGGTACAATGCCGGCATCTGCTTCAAGTGCACTTGCACAATGAGGGGGGCCACTGCGCACCTTGCTTGTCAACATCACTCCATTGTTGTCTATAATTATTATCATGAACTCAAGGTGCCAAGCTCCGATTTTAATGTTGCTATAACTCGCCCGGCCGGTCGCCCCTTCGCGTCGCTCCTTGTGAGGTACTCGCACGTGGAGCGCATTGGCACCATGCCTCGGCTGACGGATGCGCAGTTCTTCCTGAGGGCTCTGAGTCTTGGTGATACACCCTCAAACGTGGTGGGTGACAAATTTGGGAGGTCCCAAAACTCGATCAAGTATAGGGCCCTATATTGGGTAAACGCCTTCGCCACAATTTGAGGGGGGATATATAATGTGCATCACATGTTAGCATAACATGTGTGTACGTGTATATTTATACAAATGTTATGCTGATAGTTTAAATTTCAGACAGCCTAGCATAATTTCCTCATTGCATAAATCTGGCATGCTACGTACTTGAGGAAAGACTACGTCCACCCAATCAGCATGGTGATTGGATTCCGGCCGCACATGCTGAAGTATTGCTCTATGCATTGTGTAAATCTGGGCATAGCCCAGTGGGCCAATGCATCCTGCATTCTGGCACTGGCTGAGATTAACTTTTTCGGGCAGGACAGCTTGGCGGTGCAGTTGGAAGTGCTGACGGTCAGATTCAAGAAGTGGTGCAGGCTTCACGGCATTCACCACTCGCAGGTTGTCATCACCGTTGGTATGATGCACTTGTCTGACGCCGCCTACCCCGAGCTGACACTGAAGGCCTACAATGGGCGCGTCATGGTCAGTTTTTTGGCCACGTGTTGCCAGGCGGCATGCGCGCAGGGGGCTGATCTGGGTTTGACCACTTCTGCAATGACACATCTGTCCAACTGGCTGCTCCTCATTGAGGGCCTGGGCAGATATCTTGAGCCTGGTGACGCCAACCATGTATACAACCTGGGCATGCAGCCACTTGCTGTCATTAATGTAACATATTAAGTGTTGGTAACAACTTTATATCTAGGTATACATGTACAAACATGTGCAGGGACTAGTCCCATGAATTTAACTATGCAGACACCACCTTGCAAGGAACTGGTTACGTTGGACATGGCTGAACTGTTTGTTTTTTGAGAGGGGACCGCTGAATGCAGGTGTGCACCCGGTTCTTGCAGGAGGGTTTAAATATTTCGGATAGCTATACTTCAAGGACCCATGTTCAATCAACCGGGGTACCAGGTCCCCCAGCTGTGCCCTTTTACCCTTTTGGGGCGGAGGGTTCCCCTATAGCTACACTAAAATAGAGTACAGAAAACAGGGTACCCTTATTCTAACCTTTGTACGGGAGGACCTAGTCAAGCTCAAGGTATGGTATAACCGGTACCGTACGTATACCCAAACCATCAAATTGTTGATCCCATCGTTAATGTCTAAAACTATTCAGGGACTATGGTCATAGGGGTTTCAGCCAGCTCAGCCAAGGTTCCTCGTCACCTACAAAGCGCTGGCCCGGCTCCACTTGCGGGCGAGCAGCAGGCGATGGCCGTGGAAGCCACGGCATCACGCGCCCCGGCTTGATGTGTGTGTGTGTGTGCACATGTACCATTTTGTTTAATGGTTGCAAATTTGGGTCAGGGAATACCACTGTTCGACAAAGTGGATCATGGTTAGCTGCAATCCCGAAACTTGTCCAGGGAAACCATCATTGGTGCCGTTCTTAAACCATCATTGTTGCCGTTTTTGCAATATGGCCGGACGCCTTCAAACCATCAGTGGTGCCGTGTTTTGCAATATGGCCGGACCCCTTGCTTCAAACCATCATTGGTGCCGTGTTTTTGCAATAGCGGGACCCCTTATAATTAAGCTTCAACCCATCATTGGTGCCGTTTTTTGTGGCCGGACCTCTTAAACCATCATTGTTGCTGTTTTTTTGCAATATGGCCGGGCTTCAACTGCCCTTTTGATTTTATGTTCTTCTTCAGGCTTTTAAAGTCTGCAACAAGTGTGTGGGCACCCTTTTGCTATGTATGCTAAGGCATTTGCCGAGATTCTGTATGAGGCAAAGGTCTTCCGGTACAACCCCAGGGCAAACCATTGCTTTCTGGATGAAGATTGCATGGGGGTTGTGAAACAGCTGTGCCGCAGAGTACATCGCATCTTGCAAGATTGGCATCATTGATTTGTGAATTTGGGGTGGTGGTGTATTTCTGTGAAATGTAGTCATGTTTATCTTTGAGTTTTTAGTGGTGAATTCATATATTAACCCACATCGATCTGAGAACATCCCATTTCTGTGTACATGTTGTGGCATATCTGCATATTGCAATACCCAGGTCGACTTCTAGAAGTACGCGTGATGGCGAGATGGATGATTAGGCTCATGTGTCAACGGCGGTAGCTGTACAAAGTGCGCGACGGCGGAGCGGGCCAGTTTGTCGAAAAACATGCGCTATCGAATGTGGTCTCCCACAACCCACGGACCCCAAATTTCAACATCGGGTGTGTGGGTGGGGCACGCTGGTTAATGTAGGTCATAGTTACCCACGCCTGAGCCTGAGGGTTCCGGTCTTGCCAGAGATCTTGCTAAGAGAGACCTAGAAACATCGTCGGAAACATCGTCCTAAAAACTATCTCGTGCCGTCCCTTCATCTTGCATGCCTTCCGTTCGAGAGATCTTGTCAAAGGATGGTCCCCACAGATCTTAAACAAAGAGCTTGTAGAGGGTGCACTGAGGGATCCTGCGCACGGATCTTTCCGGGAGATCCCATCAAGAGATCCCATCAAGAGATCCTTGCTAGACATCTGTGGCAGTTGCAGAAAAAGCACTTGCTTGACTTCCTAATGCCCCTTAGTCTAAGGCGCATATTCCACACATGGAGCTTGGGGCCGCGGGCCAGGATACTTGTTTTCTGGGCAGCGCTGTTTCTGAGAAAGCGCCCCGCCAGAGTTCCCCGTAGGGGTGGCACTTCTGGCTTTCACCCGGCTTCTTGCCGTTGCAGCCAGCGCCGCGTGGGTTTTCGTCTAGCAACGCAGAAGTATGCATTTGCGCATCGAAGGCCGCTTTGGCAGGTTTAGCTCAAACATACCATTGTTTGTCAGAGCAGGTGTGGCATGCGAAGCACACTTTGGCGGCTCTAGCTCAAAGACTGCAACCATTCACTGCAAACGGCGCATTGCCAAGTGTAGCAGAAATTCGACTAAGTCCTCGCCCGTTGACCCTGGTAGAAACTGGCAAGTTGCCAACGTACGTGAGGCAAATTGTCCATTGGAAAGGGTACAAATCTGGGGGCACCCTACTTTCCACTCAATGCAGCAGAATGTGGCCTCCCCTTTTACAACAATGGCAAGTTGCAGTAGCGTGAGGCCTCATGAAGTCTGAAGATCAAAAACGCAAACCGGCTGTGCTATCTACGTAGCTGAGACTGACCATGTAGACCTATGTGAAATCATGCCCAAAGAAAGAAAAAAGCCAGCATCTAAACTCGACTCAGGTGCCCTGATTCTTGACTGGCGTGACCACCCCCTTGGTTCGCCAGTCCATGGTCTCGGGATTGGCCTTCGCTGCGCCAAACTGCACTGTGTGGACAGCCTGCAGCGGCGGTGGGGTCTGAGTTGCCCGGATCCCCTTGAACTCCTCCTGGGACCAGTCGGCAAAGTCATTGACCGCCATGTACCAGGTGTGAAGGCCTGCTTGGAACTCCGTATTGTGGGCCTTGATCTTCTTAAGGTTGGTCTGGAAGATGCTCCGTCGCCTCTCAAACTCCTCGGTGCCATAGGCTCGAGAAAACTCCTCGCAGAAAGCTGCGAAGTCGTAGCCCTCGTAGAGGGGAGCCTCAGCCTCCAGATCAAGGCAACGGCACCCAACCTTGGGAATACATGCCTCGGAAGAAGAGCAGCACTCGAACTTTGTGGAGTCCACCTGGCAGCACGGCAGCCCAGCCTCCGCTCCCTCTCCACACTTCTTGGTGGCAGGGCAGGTGCCGCTGTGCGCTGCGGCCAGAGTGAACAAGGCCAGAGCGATGAAAGCCATCCCTTTCGGCAAATGGGTGTACTAAAGTCCTTCAGGAGCCCTTCACTGCTGCGTCAGGTGAGCATTGAGCACAAAAATATGTTGTTGCTAGCCAGCTTATCTTCGTATACATGCAGCCGCCAAGGCCCCCCGCCCTCCCCAAAACGAAAAAAACAAAAGCCGGGAGACCCGCAAACCCGCCTGAGAGCTCCGTTCGAGCTCCTGGCAGCCGCACTCCCCGCAGCAGGTGTTAGCGGAAGAATTCGCCTCATTGACAGGCCATTGGTGCTGCATGCCAACTCAACGAAGCGCGAAGCTGAACGCGCACCATCCGTCACTTCCTGGACACACAGGACCTTTCCTTTGAGACAAGTAGCCGTGCCGCAATTTCTGCAGCATGCCTGTGGCTTGGCAAAGCGCGTGTACACGCCTCAAGCCCATATGATCATGATTAGTGCCAAGCCTGGGCAATTCCGCCAGCACAGCTCAGAAACTGATCACCTTGGGTGCCAAGGGTGTATGTAAAACAAAACGTTGAAATGTAGAGCCGCTAAACAGACTTCTTCAAATGCCCTTTGCACAAACCCATGCGGCCAACCGCTGAGGGAAGCGATCCTGTATTTAGCGTTAATATGCATCCGTCTGCGAATCGGTGTCTGTTTTGAGGGATCTTTTTTGGGGCTTCTTTGCAGGGAACCAAAAGGAAACCACTCATTTGGGGCTTCCGCATTTGGAGACAAACCCAAATCGAGGAAGCTGTTCACATTGGCAAGCGCTGGGATGAAACCTGCATTTTGGAAGTTGGCTTTTTGGAACCTTGATGGGGTCCAAGGCCCGCTGGAATCTGGCATGTCCCTTTGATGCCTCATTCTCCACAACTTTTGGCATCTGAGGAAGGCTTGCCGGGCCCATGTCGCCTTGCGTACCTTGCCGCGTGAGACTTCTTGAGCTACGCTCTGCGAAACTTCCTTGCCTTTGGCAGGGCAGGTGAAATGTTGCTGGCCTTGTCTTCGGAAGACTTCGCACTGCTGTGCGCCAGTCACATGAAATCATCCAGCCGTGAGTTGATTGGCCTTCGCCCCAGCAAGAATCCGAACGGTCTTGCGCATGCTTCCACACAGGCTCCTTCGTGACTCATTCGCCATGCAGCGAATTCTGCGCTGGGTGCTTGCCGGCCAATGACGTGGGGGAAAGCTGAATGAACCGCCAAAGCACCCTACGCCTGGCCAGACTCTTGGTAGCCGTTCGCGGCGTTCCTGCCTGGCTTGCTGAGCAACTCGCGCGCCCTTGCATGCAGTTCAGCCACCTGGCTGCATCGCAGCGTTGGACTGTGCACTCTTGCGATGTCTTCGGGTCTTCGGGTCAAAAGGAACTAGTCCCAACTGAAAGTCCCCGGCGCCCTTTATTTGCCTTTTGGAGGGCACAAAAGTGTCAACAAAACTGCATACCCTTTTCACACCCACAGATCCAGCATCTCCGGCGTGAAGGCAAATGCTTCAGCCTTCCAGCACCCATGCCTCAGCCTTCTCTTGGTCAAACTTCAGGCATTTGGAAATGGTGTCGTCCAGATCGCCTCAGCCGTGTCCCCAGCTTTCGAGGCATTCGCTGCTGGGCTTCCGGTGCGGCGATTGACACGTTACTTGTCTGTTGGACGTTGTTTTATGGGTTGCACAAGTCTGGATCAAGCCGCTGGAGCGCTAGTCATGCAGCAAGAAGACTGTAGCCCACGAGCATTGTAGGCTGTTTACAACGAGAGAACATGGCCGACTAACCGTGGCTTCAAAGCACTCTGATCCATCAATCACAAGCGTAAAGCAACAGTCTACGCCGTTCTACGCGACAGTGAAGTCCACTTTGATGTTCCCTACTGCCGATGGAACTGGCAAGTGATTTTTGGCTTCAGCAGGGAAGGGGCTCAAGGCGGCACAACATATGCTTGTTCTGGGAAGTGCGGACAAAATGACACACACTATCAAGCAAGTCGGGCTGCATTGTAATTCAAGCTGCGAGTTGTACAATCTCCACTCTCTCCCTCGTTTTTTGGGGTTGCTTTCATTTTTTCCAGCCTTCTGTAGGCTCTGTCGTTGCCCATGGCCCAAAATGCGCCGGGTGCCCGGCGCTTCAGCTTTCTCCCTGTGACTTTCAGCTGCTCCAGCTGCTTCTTGAGCTGCTCGACTCTGGCCAGAGCCTGGCAGAGAGCGGGCAGCACTGTGGCAAAGTGGGGATGCCCCCTAAGGTTCTGATCCTTCACAACCCGAATGAGTGTGTGTCTGTGTGACTCAAAGCAGCCTGTTGGCAAAGCACTGGCGGCCACAATGCACGTAGGTGGTTGGGGCATAAGCCGGCTGCCCGGCTGTTGTGCCAAGTCTGCGCGCCTGCTGTGTGCTCGAGTCAAGTCCGTGTTCCTGCAGCAAAGGATTGGGGACAGGTCCGCAAGGGCAGCCCTGAGCTTGGAGGCAATCACGTGGGTCTCCTTTTTGTTGGGACACAGGGGAGGGCGACTCTGCGGATAAAGCACACCACGTGGCTCTGGGAAGCGGCCAAACTCTCCAAGTCAAAGCTGAAACACTTGGTCGCCATCCACTTCTGCTGTTGGAAAGCGTGCTTAGTCTTTTGCAGCCAACTGTTGCAGCCACGGTGCCTTTAAAGAATTTGCGATTTAAGAATCACTCAGCTGTGCTGGGGGGCCAAAAAATCCTTCTGGCAGCACTTGCTTGCCCACAGCCGTGCAGCGTGCTCAGCTTCAAGCCAGCTCTTTGTCAGCTTGGCTAAGCTTCATCCAGCTGCTTGTAAGCAGCAAGGCCCTGAATCCCAGCGCAAGGTTGCTGCAGCTCTATCTCAGCAGCTCCTGGAATAGTTGGTAGAAGGTCCTGCTACTTTGAGCACCGCCAAAACCAGGCGCCTCGCGGTCCCCACATTTCACACCTCAGCTGAGATGGCTACTTTCTTGCCTCATGAGTTCGGTGACCAGGCTTGTGGCAACCTTATCAAAGCACCAGCCAGGCGGCTCTCAGCCAAGATGCTATAGTGAGGCACCGAACCGATCTGGTCTTGTCGAGCTCTGCGGAGGGATTCCTGGCTTTGTAGCCAGCATCGAGGGCAAGCCCACCAGAAGAATGCACAATCCAAGACACAATGATTTATGCTGAGCGGCGTTAACTTCACGAATGCCTCCACCCTGCTTGAGCCAGGTCGCCGCATCGGCAGCGCTTCCATAGCCCAGCTCTTCGATCGCCTCAGAGAAAAACAAGCCATGAGCAAGGATCCGACAAACTTTACTGCAAACCGCGGCAATAATCAAAACGGAATTGCACCCTGCCATCCCTGCCCTCCAATGCCCCGTGGCCTACCGCATTTAATGTCCGGAACCCAGTGGTCGAACCCACACTCCTCAGTAGTCGACCCGCACGTCAGAAGGCCATTGGTCAACCTGGCCTGTGCTGCGCCCTCCGGGGTGGAGATGTTGCAGTCCCGGTCGTAGGTGAGCTCGTAAAACTTTCCTCGGCTCGCGTGCCTTAACTTTTGTAAATACTGCAAGCCTTCAGACGTGCACTCTGTGCTGAAGGACTTCTTTCCCACAAAGAATTTGCCTCTTTGCGAGGCCTTTTCGCACTTCCTCTAGCAAGCACAAACACCCCGACAAAACTACAAGGCGCTAAGGCGGCTTCATTCATGTGCAGGGATACGCATGGATGTGCACAGCAGCCCTTCAAATCGCAAGCTGAGCTCACAAGAAGGGCGCATGCGATACGCGCAGCTCCGCCTTTGGGTGTCACTACTTCCCCTGTCGCGTTCAACGCATGTCATGTCTCTAGCATCTCCTGCTTATTCAAATCAACATGCATTACCTCAGCTCAAGACCCGCCACATGCCCCGGCCACAAGGTCTCCAAGTCCAACTTTGATCTTTGTCAATCGAGAGCCCGCGCCGCTCCATTCAGCCAACTGCCGTCCAAGACGCGGATCAACGCATGACACCTTTCATCTCTCTCTTTTGAACTCAACTCTGGCATCTTTGAATGGATCTCGTCCAGGTAGAAAGTGAGGCGATGTGCATTCCTTGCTGCGCAAGGAGCACAGCGAGACCAGCGAGGGCCTGCCGCCAAGCGGCTCCGTGTTGGGCCACCACTTCCACTGCTTCAAGTCACCCGGCTTCCAGCCACCGCCCCAACCGCGGCGCCTGTGGCAAAGGCCAAGACTGCGTCGGGCAGAGTTGCACACGGCATGTGGAGGTTTCTGCAGTTTCTCAAGGAGTTTTGCGTCAAATTGCGGCCCCATCAGGGTGTAACAAGCCTGCAATAGTCCTGCTTGTCTTCGCCCGTCTGGTTGGTGTTGGGATCAATGATGAACGGGCGATACCTGGAGCGGTCCGCCAGCTGTCCAATGCCACACTGGCAGGCACCCCAGTTGCAGCCTGCTAACAAGCATCTTTGGTCAAAACTGACCAGCCCCGGGCCAGTCGTCAGGGGGTTCGTTAGAACAGCCCCAAATTTATGTGTAAAAAGGTAACCGGTGACAAGCCGAAAGCCCATTGGGACCAGAACAGTAGCCCATCAGCATTTCCCAGCACAGGGAAATGCCTGGAACCCTAATAAAAGCTGCCATCAGCCAAAGCGAGTTTTTTTCTGAATCAAAATCCCGCATGACATTGCTGATTGTTGGTCTGCCTCATGTTTGCACGCGCTGACGCGTCTCTGTCCATTGACATTTGCTTGCCTCACGGTCACATCAGCACCCTCCTTCTCCACCTGCTGCACTGCAGCTTCCAGCCTAGTGTCACCCACATAGCACCAGGGTCAGGCAATGTCGCTGACAATGTCTACCTCGATGCGTTTCTTGCTCATCAATGGCACCGAGCGCGTCAAAGCTGGCTTGAGTTGGGATAAAGCTGCGGGTGCACAATTGAGCAGAAACGCCAACAAACAGCTGCAAAACAAGACTGGCAAGTGGACTGAACAAGGCGTTGAAAGCGAATCATGGACTGCGAAGGCCTGGGAAAACCCAGCTGCAAATCGGTTTTGCAGTCCTGGGACTTCTCCGCCTGCACCTCTTTTATCATCTGCTGAATAAGCTGCTTGAGGCGCTGCAGCTCCTGTGTTGCTGGGAAGCTACGACAATGCGGCGCGCACATGAGCACATGATGCTGCCATATGAGCAGCTGAGTAAGCCTCAGCGTCTGCAATGCCAAAATTGGGGGTTGACCTCGTTTTGGACTCCTTGACGCTCATGTTACGACAAACTCCAAGCAAATCAAGGGGGGTTCTACACTTTCAAGCTCACAAATCGCGCCTTCACACCAGCCAGTACAAGGGTAGTGTGTAACGTGCACTTTGGCAGCTCCGGCTCAAATCACGAAGAGTGCGCTTTGGCAATGGCTCACTTCGCGAGGCCATGACACTCGTTGCGGGCTCGGCTTGATTTGTTGCCTTTTGCGCGCCCTGAAGCGTGCTGCACGCACAGCCAAAACTTAGCCTTGATCGCGCGTCATCGTATTCTACAACACGATCTCGCTCATTATTAACTTCGGGGGAACCATCTCGTTTCACGTCGACAAGTCTGTCAACCTTATGTATAACATTCTGACCGTATCAATACATGTTCAATTGTACTCACACCTGCTCAAAAGAAATACCATATTCCACATGCTCCTCCATCCGCTTTGTCTTTTGGTCCCGGAGGGTGTCAAGGTCTCTTCTCAGCAGCGCCAAGTCTTTGCTCTGTTCCTCGCACCACCACGGAAAGCAACGGATTACTGAAAGGCCGAAGCGAAGGCTTGCTCTCCTTCTGTTCAGTCGCAAGGCGGGCCAGCTCAGCCTCCATCTCTTTGATCTTGGCCTCTCAGCTTCCGGCTCTGCACTCTCAAGCTTTGCAAGCCGGTGCCTGAGTCCGACTGGCTTCCAGCCGGCACACCCGAGCTTGCTCCTCCAAGTCACCAAGCCTGCCAGCAACTCTCTTGCTGTCGGCAGGTCATGCCCAAAGTCAGGTGTCATGTAGCCTTGCCTGATTTCAGCGTCTTGGATGACTGGCGTCACCCGCGCAGTTTCACTCAGCTGTATCAGATGAAGCCTTAGCCGTCAGGCAGCTATCAGCCAAGCGGCCACCACCCTGCAGCCCAAGTGCAGGTGTTGCCGGGCATCCTCGAAGGCCTGCTCTGCATCCTCAGTTTTCAGCCACAGGTCCGATAGCACGCCATGCGATGGCACGCGTCAACCTGCCTTCAACTGCTGCTTTCCGCAAAGTTCCTCTGCTTCCCGCAGCTGCTCCAACAACACCTGCAACAGGGGCAGTCACAGCTGTGAAACAACTGCCGACATGGCAAATCCATACAAATCCGGACATACATGGGGGCTGGCGCGTTAGGTTGCCATCTCTTATTCCATCATGTAAAATGCCATTGGTGAGGAGAGCCGCACAAAACTACACGAATGGCTCAAGGGTCACATCCTTGGCACAATGTTTGTGGCTTCTGCGCAGAACTGACTGTCACCAATCAGCCAGTTCACATAATTATTCGGAGCGAACAGCTCCGCGCTCTGGTCATTCTGGCCCGGTCGCCCCTACTCAGCCTTTGTTTGCCAGCTGGCACTTGCTATGCTGGCTGCTATTAGCAGACTAGCCATGCTTCCCATAGGGTTGCTTTCTATGGATCGAAGGACCCTTGTGTTTCACAATAATAGCTTTTGTGCACGCGGCCGTTGCTAGCAACAGCACGCGGCACATTCCTTGCTACAATGCTTCTCACCCTTGAGCCTCTCGTTCAACTTCTCGAATCAAGGGCTGCATGTCAGGTCGTTGGGCCACCTCGGATCTAAAGGCACTTCAGACTTATCACTGTAGATGCGCTGACAAATGCAGCGGACCATCCTCTCCCCGCCGATGTCCGTTCCTAGGGCCCCCCAAGGCCCCCACATCTTCCGGCATGACTGCACGAAGCTTCAGCAGTGCACGAATGCCGCCCTCCTGAGCGCGCGTCTGCTTTGGGTCAACAGGAAACAAGAAAAAAAGTGGGTCCCATGCAAAGGGGTAGGCAACTGATCGCAAACGCTACTGCCAAAGCCTCCAGCCCCCCTAGCCTGTTGACATGTTCAAGTGACAAGTTTACAACATGGCATCAGCCCATCGCAAATCCGATCCCTGGCTGAGCTGTGCAAACGGTCCTGCTTTGCATCCAGCGCCAGCCTTAGCATTGGCCGCTTGGCCAGGACTCGACTCGCTGTTTGCCGCTGGGAGGCTGCATGGGGGTTCTTCCAGAGCCATCCTTCTGCTCCAAGCGTGCGCGCTTCTTGTGCAGCAGGATGATGCACTGAGAGGGAGGTGCAAGGCCCCTTTTGCCTTTCCAGTTTCAAACTGGCGCTGTGTTGAGATGATCCAGCTGAAGAAACAATTGGGCAAACCCGAGCAAAAGAAAACGGCTTCCCCTTTTTTACTCACTTACATATCAAACTGTCTATCGATCATCCCAATAACTCCAAGCACTGTGCGTATCAGAAAGTTGTGGCCAGCATGGAAGACATACTGCCAGCTTGCCTCAGCTTTCCCTCCCACTGCGGCAGCATGCAGGGCTGTCTGGCTCATCTTGTCCAAGGCCTGCATCTGTTCTCCCACGGGCAGTGGGCTGATGGACAAAAGGAAACTGATTTGTCAAATGGCCTGCACGTCTGCCTGATAATCCAACAGCTTGGCTACCTCAGTGGCTCCAGGTCGCAAGGCCCAGGAGGCAGCTGTCTGAGACAGAAGCTGCTGCCACATGTCCGCGAGCCGCAGCGCAAATCAGAGCTGTCCGAGCTTCCTGCTGGCCGCAAATGCCACTACGCAGCGGCGAGCACCAAGTGTGACACGCCTCTGTCCGCTCTTCTGGGTCAGAGCCGTTCGCCAACAACGCCTGAGAGTATCACTCGTTCAACCGGCATGCTGCTGCATTCAGCTGACAGGCCACGAGCCTCGACAACCTCGGCAAACCCTCGCTCAGCCGCCACGTGCAGCGGCGTACGCCCGCCGGCAGCTGCAGACCTGAAAGCGAAACATCTGGAGCTTTGATGAATTCAGCTAGGTGGAATCCTTTCAGGCTTTTCCATGTGCGTTCTGCGGTTTCCCAAGCACACGGCTGATAATTCACGCCATGGGTCAGCAGCAGCTCAGCCACTTGAGCATGACCTGAGATGTTTGGGCTTTTTGGTTCCAAGCCTGGCACAGTCGTCGTACCCGCCTCGTTCTGCAGCTCCATGCAAAGGAGTGCTGCCATCCTGAACGCATTAGGCCCCTGCGCGTGGTTTCCTGTCGCATGCTGGCCTCCGCTTGTGCGTTGGGATCGGCTTTGGCATTCAGGAGCACCTCTGCTGCCCCCACGTGACCGCCGAAGCCTGGGCAGAAAGCTGTGAGCAGGCATGAATTGCTGCATAGCGCTGTCAGGTGGCAAAGGGTGTAACGTGAGTAAGAAGATGACACAAGTGGAGGAAGAAGAAAAGCAAAGCGAGCAAAGGGACGCAAGAAGTGTTGAAACGCGGAGCAAAGAACCCTAGCCTTCCGCTTTTTTCTCATCTCTGGCACAAGTGTTTCGGATCTTCCCAGGTCCCCAGTGGCAAAATGCCTCCAGCTTGATTTGCCTCTGTGGAACCTGACCTTCAGGCAAAGCATGATGAGATTCTGGACCATCTGGGACCCTTTGCCTGAAGGCTTCCTCTACGACCCAAGGCAAAACACAGCTGTCTAGCCGTCAGACACATCTGTGAAAGTCTTACTTGCCAGGCGCTGGCCCGTGAGATGGTTGCTTCGCAATCTCTCTGGGAATACGCTCGCAAACTAGACACGCGAAAAAAGAAGGGTAGGCCACCGGAACATTGGGTTTCTTGTATCTGTAAGCTACAGTAGCCACATAAGCTGGTTTGCTGGTGTCAGTTACTGGCTCTGACTCTGAACCCAAGACTGGGTAGTGAGCACTTACAGGCGGGCGGCCTCCTTTGAAAGCATCTCTATTTGGATCTGCGCGCGACTGCCTAGTCTGAGCAAACTGAAATTCAGCTGGCTGGTGCTTGCGGCCTGTGCTTGCAGCATTTGCAAGGCATGCCAAGCTTTGACGTGTCTTAGTGCTGCTTTCCTGGCCAGTGCTGTCCCAACGACTGCACTGACCCTGACTCAAGGCCGACAACATTGCACAGCGCAGCTTGTATCAGACATTGCCCACACCGCCTTTGACAGCAGAACTGCCCGGCCAGATATTGAGTTTATGTGAGTTTCATGTCATCGGTGCGGGCAACTGAGGTGACAGCATGCATGCTTGGAAACAGACACCCTGGCAACTGACTCTGATCAGCTACTTGCTGAAATGTTTCGCTCCGCTCAGGAAAGGAAGCTGGTGAGGAAGCTAGCCCATCTAGTCGCGCCGCAACGCCTGGCACGCATTTCATGCTAACATGTCCGCCTTGTCGTGCTTCTGAGAAGCTCATGTTTCCCAAAATCTGAAGGGCATGCAGGGTGTTGCGTGAAAGTTAGTTCCACCTGAAAAGCTCAGAGCTACTAGACTTTAAGGGACATCTGCCCACAAGCCATCCTCACAAGCCGTGTCAGCAGTGTCACGACAGCTGGGGGAAAGAACCTCTGACCATGACTGGTATGGCAGTATGGTCCCAGACATACTCTCAGACTGTGACAGGCCAGACCTTGAGCCTCCCGCCGGTATCTGGACCCAACTCTGACAGACCAGGCGTATGACTCCCGCCAGTGACTGGACCCAGACCGCCAGGGCAGACCCTAAGGTTCCCGCTAGCCGGACCAGACCCAGACAGTTGTGGCTGACGAGCCTGCTGTGTACGTAACCTTGTTTCCGCTGAACGCGGACTTCCCTGCAAGAAGAAAGTTTCTGTGATCTTTGAGCCAACCCTCTCCTGAGCAGTCTGACAAGCCTGGCAAAATGTGGTGTTGAATGGATTCGCATGCTGGGATACCCGTATTCAATTACGGGGCTTTTCATGATTACTCAAGAGATCGCCTTTGTGTTGTTGGTTCTAGGGTTGTGGATTAGAATTGACCAACCATCCATTTGGAGCAGCCCAGAATTGCCTTAAGCTGACATGACAGCAGCCGCAGCAGCCGCTGCACCACCACCCTTTGTAGCATCCGAGGTCGCGTTGAGAATTTCCTGGGCGATCGCTAAGCTTCAGCGCTGCCAGCTGTTAAGAGAGAAGCCATGGGTCACCCAATCCAACCGGAAAGGATGATGGAGCCATCTTAGATGGCTTCTTCAAGGGTTCTGAGGTCCCACTGTGACTCCTTGTCGACTGATCCAAGTCCATCTCATCACATTGACTAGTTCGAGGGCTTCCGCAAGCACTGGAGACATTGCAGTGAAACTGCCAACTTTCAGCCGCGGCTCGATCTGATCAGGACCCTCTGCCTCTGTGAGGGACACCAGCTTTTCACGACGCTTCTTGGAAAGTGACATTCCCGCAATGCTTGCAAAAACGAGCTTGTCGATGCGGATGACAGAGCACGTGCTAGCCTGAGATGATCGGGGCATCACTTCCAAAGTCCTTTTGGGCTGGAGTGAGGGGCGGGTGCGGGACAAAGGAGTCTCTTGACAACATCATTGTCACTTGCATGAATTCACCCTGCGTTTAGTGCGCGACCAACGCAACCTCCAGATCAACCACCGCTGAAGACGGCTGCGAGACTCTTCAAGAGCAAGACAGTGAAGACAAGGTGCTGTGACCACGGTAAGGTGTGACAGAACAGGCTCCTCCGTTTCCAAGCAGGCCTCATCGATGATGATCGGATCTCCCGATAGCTCCCGCGGGCGCGACTTGACATCTCTTGCCTTACATCAGGGGCAATGGGATTTACCTCCAGAATGAAGTAGTCCACGTCACATTCTCCCAGGCAACTGAAACGTGTCAACGCCGTGTTTGCATTGAATCGGCTAGACCCCCTACATATCACACTCTTTAAACTTGTTCATCCTTCATCCATCCATAGCCCCACATCTCCAACTGAAAAGAGAAATGTCCGCAGGACAGGCTGCAAATAGATGGCCAGAGCATAGAATCCAAGCTGAGAGAGCCTCCTCCCCGGCCACACAAAGCTTCTGGTCAGCGAGCAGATCGGATGATGCCTGGGTGCACTGCACTGAGTGCCCACCAGGCAAGAAGAGCGCGCGCGATATGCAAAGTGCAAGTAAGCCTGGGACGGCCTGCAAGCATATTTGCCTGATAGTCTCCTTCTTGAAGTCTGACAGAATGCCGAGCTTCTGCACGTATTGCAAAGCCTGCTTTCATATTCACTTTGTGCAACACATCCCAGACAGACGTGCACAATCTGCACCAGCAGGCAAAAGCCACAAGCGCCTCTGCATATCTGACCTCCATGTGCAAAGGCTCTGGAAGCTTCGACAGGAAATTTGCCTCCTTCGCCATGATTCGGCGACGGTGGAAAAGATGCGAGACGTAATCCTGGCGCGCTTTCAGGACATCATGACATGCCTAACCCACTGGTCAAAATGGCCGCACTGCGAACCTGTCATATCGAATCGCCGACCACACAGTTTGGTGACTCTTCATCAACAACAAGTGCAAAACAAATAATGTCCTTAATTTTGCGCTGAGCCGAGTCTTCCAGCTTCAGCTTGTGCATATGCCTTTGGTCCAAGAATTCAACTCTTGCACTATGCTGTGGTGAGGAGAGCATGTGTGCATGCACATGCTATGTGTGAAAACGCAGGGCCGTCTCCAGTCTGGCCATGCCGAGCGGCATGCGCAGCGCAAACATTTCGTCATTGAAGCCGCGATTTCGCTCACTGATCTTAAAGTATGCCTGTGTCAAAGATGCGACCGAGACAGCAAAGGCCGACCTTGGATGTGAGATTCACTGCAGTCAAGCGGTTCTTTTGCAAGCCGGTGGCACAAAGGCTGAGGCAACCATGACAGTTGACAATGCATTAAGCCCGGTGACAGCGCGAAGAACATGAAGCAAAGCACGAAGGTACCTGGGCGCAGGCGAAGAAACATTCTCAACGCCAATGTCCATGGACCTGGATATAGCCAAATGGCTTGCACACGCAAAATGCATGGGCTGACATGGATACCTCTGTGCGTACGTATGGTTGATGGCAATTGTGTGTATATGTGTATGTGTCTGTGTGCGACTGATTAAGTTTGAGCTTGTGTGCTTGATTCTGTGCGTGTGTTTGTGTGCTTGCATTCCCGAAAGCATGGCGAAGGGTTCTTCCGTTGGATTCATGGGAGTTATCATCATGAGAATCATTGCAAAGAGTTATCAATCATCATCAGTGTCATTGCGCAGAGTCATCATCATCATGAGAATCATTACAAAGAGTTATCATCATCAGAGTCATTCCAAAGAGTCATCATCATCATGAGAGTCATTGCAAAGAGTTATCATCCTTGCACAGAGTCATCATCATCAGAGTCATTGCAAAGAGTCATCATCACCAGAGTCATTGCAAAGAGTTATCATCATCAAAGTCATTGCAAAGAGTTATCATCATCAGAGTCATTGCACAGAGTCATCATCATCAGAATCATTGCAAAGAGTCATCATCATCAGAGTCATTGCACAGAGTCATCATCATCAGAGTCATTGCACAGAGTCATCATCATCAGAGTCATTGCACAGAGTCATAGCAGAGAGTCACTTGCGAGGAGCAATGCTCATGAGAGTCCTGGCGAGGAGCAATGCTCATGAGAGTCACTTGCGAGGAGCAATGCTCACGTGCAATGCTCATGAGAGTTCTGACTCATGACGAGTTTTAAACTCTTTTCTTCTCCTCTAAGAGCGGCGGGGTAGGGCCGACAGCACTCTACGAAAATCAACCCTCTGCGGAGATTCGATTCGTGTGGTCGAGGTCAAAAAACTGTGGAAATTTTACGGCTTCTGATCTGTGCGAGCGACCCTCTGCGGAGATTCGCGTGGTCGAGGTCAAAAAACTGTGGACATTTTACGATTTCTGATCTGTGCGAGCGACCGACCCTCTGCGGAGATTCGTGTGGTCGAGGTCAAAAACTGTGGACTTTTTTACGATTTCTGCGGTGCGCGCGCGACCCTCTGCGGAGATTCGTGTGGTCAAGGTCAAAAAACTGATGGTTTTTTGCGATTTTGACATTCCAGGATAAACCCTCTCCGGGGATCGGCGTGGTCGATGTGCAAAAACTGATGGTTTTTCGACTCTGAATATGCTCGCGCGACCCTCTGCGAGGATCGTGCGTGTCGAAGCGCTCTCGCTGCGGCGCCGTGCGAATTTGTTTCTTGCGAAGTGGTCTTTGGAAGTTGTCGCGTGGTTTGCGCAGCTGCTCTCGGAGTTGCGCGGTCGCGGGGTCGATCCCCGCCTGGTCCGCGGAAGCTTTTCTAGACAGAAATCGCAACTTTTAGGTGCAAACCGCAGCTCCGGCTGGAAAATCGCAACTTTTAAGTACAACTGTAGTACGCGGAGTATAGTCCTGCAGCTCCGGCTGCATAATGGGTTTTTTTTCGCAGAGCAACTTGCTCAGAGCGCTGCCGCTTGCGCAGAGCAACCTGCGCAAAGCAAATTGCACAGAGCACTTGCACATAGCAGCTAGCGCAGGGCTACTTGGGCAGACCAAAAGTCAGGTGTCCCGTTGGGAGAATTATTATCATGAGAGTCATTGCGCAGAGTCATCATGACAGCCATTGCATAGAGTCATCACACAAGAGTCATTGAACGGAGTCATCACGAGAGTTATTGCACAGAGTCATCGTGAGAGTCATTGCACAGAATCATCATGAGAGTCATTGCACACAATCATCATGAGAGTCATTGCCCAGAATCATCATGAGAGTCATTGCACACAGCCATCATGAGAGTCATTGCACAGAAGCATCACGAGAGTCATTGCACAGAGTCATCACAGCCACTGCGTAGTGACATCACACGAGAGTCATTGCACAGTGTCATCATGACAGCCATTGCATAGAGTCATCACACAAGAGTCATTGCGCAGAGTCATCATGACAGCCATTGCATAGAGTCATCACACAAGAGTCATTGAACGGAGTCATCACGAGAGTCATTGCACAGAGTCATCATGAGAGTCATTGCACACAATCATCATGAGAGTCACTGCGCAGAGTCATCAAGAGTCACTTGCGTTGTAGTCACTGTTTTGCTCGAGGGCGGTATATGCGTCATCTTTGACGCGCTTGGCAAACTCGTGTGAGGGGGGTCCGATAGGTGGCAAGATAGCAGGAACAAGGTTAGTTGCTGTGCGTTGCTTGTTACCACATCGAGCAAAAAACTTGCGCGGGAATGATCGCCGGGCTGTGATGCTTTCGGGCCAACCGTGGTCTAGTTGTTGTGTATCTTTGTGTGTGTCTGTGTTTCTGTGTGTGCGTGTTGCGCTTGTGTGTGTGTGTGTGCGTGTGTCGGTGGTTCTGCTTCTGTTTGTGTTTGTTTTAAGTTTGTGCTTGTGTGTGTGGGTGCGTGGGTGGGTAGGTCCGTGGGTAGGTTGGTCGGTGTGTGAGTGTGTGTGTGTTTGTGTTTGTTTGATTGAGTGATTGTTCGTTTGCTTGTGTTTGTGTGTTTGTGTGCTTGCCGGTTTATGCGTTTAGGTGCTGTTTATGTACTTGTTTGTTGCTCCCTTACCTGCTTGCCCGCCCGCCTGCTTTTCTGCTTGACTGCATGCTTACTTGCTTGCGTGGCGCTGTCCCGCTCCCAAACCTAGGGACACTGCTGGCCCTGAAAACTCAGGCGTAGCAAGCGATGTGGTTGCGTGTGTCTCTCTCTGTGTCTGTCTCCGTGCGTCTCTGTGTCTGCGCATCTCTGTGTCTATGCGTGTGCCTGTCTTTGAGAACGCGCGTGCGATTGAATCTGCTTGTTGTCTATCGTGGTGTTCCTGTGTGTGTGTGTGTGTTTGTGTCTGTGTGTGTGTGTGGGTGGCTGCGTGGGTGCGTGGGTGCGTGGGTGCGTGAGTGCGTGCGTGCATGGGTGCGTGGGTGCATGGGTGCGTAGGCGCGTGGGTGCGTGCATGGGGGATACGTGAATGCGTGTGTGCACGGGTGCGTGCGTGCTTGCGTGCGTGCGTGTGTGCGCGCGTGCGTGCGTTGCATGCGCGCGCGCGTGTGCGTGTAAGCGGTGTGTGCGCATGTGCGTGTGCGTGCGCGTGTACGTGCGCGTTCTGAGTGTGCGTGCGCGTGCGCGTGTGCATGTGCATGTGTGTGTGCGTGCGCGTGCGCGTGTGTGCGTGCGCGTGTGCGTGTGCGTGTGCGTGTGCGCGTGCGTGCGTGCGTGCGTGCGTGCGTGCGTGCGTGCGTGCGAGGGTGTTTGTGTGTGTGTGTGCGAGGGTGTTTGTGTGTGTGTGTGCGTGCGCGCGTGCGCGAGTGCGCGCGCGCGCGTGCGTGCGTGCGTGCGCGCGCGCGCGTGCGTGCGTGCGTGCGTGCGTGCGTGCGTGCGTGTGTGTGGGTGTGTGTGTTTGTGTGTCTGTGTGTGTGTGTCTGTGAGTCTGTGTGTCTGTCTGTCTGTGTGTCTGTGTGTCTGTGTGTCTGTGTCTGTGTCTGTGTCTGCGTGTGTGTGTGTGTGTGTGTGTCTGTGTGTGTGTGTCTGTGCGTGTGTGCGCGTGCGTGTGTGTGTGTGTGCGTGCGTGTGTGTGTGTGTGTGTGTGTGTGCGCGTATGTGTGTGTGTGTGTGCGCGTGCGTGTGTGTGTGTGTGGTATGTGCTGTGTGTGTGTGTGGTGTATTGTGTGGTGTATTGTGTGGTGTGTTGTGTTGTGTTGTGTTGTGTGGTGTTGTGTTGTGTTGTGTTGTGCTGTGTTGTGTGTGTGTTGTGTTGTGTTGTGTGTTGTGTTGTGTTGTGTTGTGCTGTGCTGTGTTGTGTGTTGTGTTGCGTTGTGTTGTGTGTTGTGTTGCGTTGTGTCGCGTTGTGTTGCGTTGTGTTGCGGTGTGTTGTGTTGCGTTGCTTTGTGCTGCGTTGCTGTGTTGCGTTGCGTGTCGCGTTGTGTGTTGTCATGTGTGTTGTGATGTGTGTTGTGTTGTGTGCTGTGTTGTGCGCCGTGCTGTGTGTGTGTGTGTGGTGTGTTGCGTGTTGTGTTGTATGTTGTCTTGCGTGTGTTGTGTTGTGTGTCATCTTGTGTGTTGTGTTGTGTGTTGTGTGTTGTGTGTTGTGTGTTGTGGTGTGTTGTGTGTTGTGCTGTGTGTGTGTGTTGCTTTCTGTGTTGTCTTGTGTGTTGTGTTGTGTGTTGTGTGTCGTCTTGTGTGTTGTGTTGTGTGTGTGTTGTTTTGTGTGTTGTGCTTTGTGTTGTGCTTTGTGTTGTGTTGTGTGTTGTGTTGTGTGTTGTGGTGTGTTGTGGTCATTGTGGTATGTTGTGTCGCGCGCTGTGTGTTTTGTTGTGTTGTGTGTGTGTGTGTTATGTTGTGTGTCGTGTTGCGCTGTGTTGTGTTACGTGTTGTGGTGTGATGTGTTGCATTGTTGTTTTGCGTGTTGCGTTGCTTTGCGTGTTGCGTTGTGTTATTGTGTTGTGTTGAGTTGTGTTGTGTTATGTTGTGTTGTGTTGCGTTGTGTTGCGTTGTGTTGTGTTGTGTCACACGCCCATGCCCAGCGCCGCACGCGCCACGCCACCCCAAACAGCATCCCAAAGCACCACCTGCACCAGCACCCAAAACTGCATGCCCCCCGAGCACCCTACTCTTGCAAAACTGCGCCCGCATCGTCACCAGCATGCCTCCTAGCACCCGGCCGTTCACCAGCACCTCAAACAGCGCCCAAAACCGCACCTACACCAGCACCCAAAACGGCACGCCCCCTAGCCAAGCAATCAAGTTCCCCCTCTTTGTTAGAAGTTTGCACCCCTATAGCTTTCAGCTATCTGGGGAAAAAGCACCAACAATATGTGCTTGTGTGAGTGTCTTTGTGTGTGTGTGTGTGCGTGTGTGTATGTGTGTCTGTGTGTGCGTCTGTGTTGTGTTCGTGTGTGTGTGTGTGGTCTTGTGCGCGTGTGTCTGTGTGTGTGTGCGTTTGTGGGTGGGTGCGGGTGGGTGCGGGTGGGTGCGGGTGGGTGCGGGTGGGTGCGGGTGGGTGCGGGTGGGTGTGGGTGGGTGCGGGTGGGTGCGGGTGGGTGCGGGTGGGTGCGGGTGGGTGCGGTGGGAAACTGCGGAGGCGAGACAGCAGGGTGTGGGGTGTGGCCTGCTGGTTGTGTGCATATTGCGCGTGGGGGGTCCGAAAGTCAAACTGTGCGGACTTTCCCTTTAAACCCGGTGGGCAGTTGGTTGGTTGCACCGGAAGCTCATGATGTTTGCCCTTTGCGCCCGGTTGGTACTTCCAGCGAGCCGATCAGGCCCACAAGCAAACAACCAACAAACTGTGTCATTGCCTAGCTGCGCTCAGCCAGATTCACTGGCGTGACTTCTGCCGGCATCGTGCGCATCACGCCCAAAGTCCAATAGAAGCAAAAAATGTATGTTTCCTCGGCACCGTGGACCGTGCCAAACATGGCACGCTAGCACGCACGAAAGCGCAAGCACAAACCCGCAAACAGGATATATGTGTGTGTGTGTGTGTCATCTGGCATGTCCGCATGCCGCCCAATGTCTGCCATAGGTAACTCTGCATAGGTCCAGGATGCCTGACACGCGCACTTGGAACGGCTTTCTGGCAAAGCAAACCGGCCTGGCCAAGGCCATAAGTTCGGCTGACCGTGGTCCAGTGCGGGAGGGCTTCAAAAGCCATTCTAGTGTCGTCAGGCAAAAAGTCGGTGATGATGCTATCTGGTCGGCCTGACAAATCACTCCCCTCACTAACTGCACAATAGAGGAAACGCTTCACACATGCTGCACGGCCCACGCAAGCCGGCCTATCATCCAAAAAATACCTGGGAAAGAAACCACAAAGTTCTCTGTCGTTCTGCACAACTGCTGTGCGCGAATCGCAGCAATCAGTTTGCAACAAGCGGCAGGCATTCCAGTGACAAATGGCCACCTCGACGGCTACAAGAAATTGCGCACAGCAGTGTGAATTGCAAGTCATTGGACAAACAAATTCATAGTGCTTGGCTTCGGCTGGGGTTGCATGGCGAGCGACGATGACCAAGAGGACCCGAATGAGATACATTGCTTGAATGACAGTTACCGACCCAATTCCTCGGGACAATCATCTCTCGTGCCGAAGTGCCCTTGCAGCTGTTCCCATGTCTTGGAGCCACATGCCATATGAGCGTGGAGCAAACACAGCGCCTTCCGCGACAAACTTTCGGTGCGGCAAGTGTCTGATTTCCAAGCGTTCCCAAATGTCTTTGATCTTCTTTGCGCGGAGCATTTTCATCAAGCGGATAATGCCTAAGTTGAAGCGAACGCCAGGCAGAAGAAACAAGTACTCCGGTTGTTTGCCCACGAGCAAGCTTGCGATTCATACACATCCCTGCACGTTTCAAGCCTGCGCACCGGCTAAAAAAGAGAACGCTGCGACAGCACATGCCAGCCAAAGAGCGGAGAAACTTCAGCATCCTCAGGCAAGGTGAAAACAAATGTCTGGGTTGCTAGGCATGCGAAGTTGCAAGTACAAGGCTGTGCCAAGACTCTTTGCCAGCTTCGCCACATGTAGCAAAGCACCGCCTTCTGAACCCACTAAAGCGTCCACCATGCGGCTCCAAGGGAAGGTACTCAGGAAGTCCAAGCTAAACCACCCACGAAGATAGGCTCTAGCAATGAGGGCGTGGTCAATAATAACCTCTTTGTCATCGCCTGAGCTCGCTCACAGCTAGGCACAACCATCAGCACACATATGTCTTATGGACAACAGGCACTCAAGCCCGCCATGCGCAGAAATCAATCATGGCTACCCTTGCTTCCGTCCGGTTTCATCAACCAGTGCCCATGCTGACACGCCTGCAGGCGTAAAAGTTTTGTCAAAAGCGCCTCACATAGACTGCAGGTCCCGAGCATTGTTCGCTGCGCTCCAGCGATCCCAACCATCCAACATAGTACCGGAGCGTTCTTGATTGAAAAGCTTCCGCAATAAAGTGAACGCTTGCTTTTTCATTGCCAGGGTACCCCCTGGCTCGCCCCAAAACAAAATCCACGTTTCTTTGCCAGGCCTCATCTCGTTTATCATTCCGCGAGCACCCTTGAGTGCCGCAGGCCATTCGACTTCTGTCAAGCCGCTGCCATGGGTCAAGCCCGTGTTGAAGGTAACCAGGATATCTGCAGAAAAACATACCGTAGTTATCCAAAACCACGCCCCATCGAAGGCATCTTCCCCGACGTCTCTCTTGAAGGACAGCTGAAAGGGGAGAACGAAGGTGTCCAAAAGGACAACGACCATCACCGCCAAATCCCAGACCAGCTTGCTGGTCCAGCCCGGATAAATGACAAATTGTGACACCCAGCTTAGCGAATCAATGTCTTCCGAGACCTGTGCAAGCAGCTCTCTTTGTCGACGCGTGTCAACGGTGAGGCATTCCAGAACGCTAAAAAGCAAAAAAAAAACAAAAAGGTCAAAAGCCTGCTGTTGGCCCATGCAAGCTACCGGCCACTGGCTGAACTCTAAGGCGTTCGATGAGGCGGAGGGCGACGTGACTGCTCCATCCGTTTCCGACACCCCGGATTTCCTGGGCATGCCCAAAAAAGCCGAAAGCGGTCTGAGCCCCGACAAAAACCCACTCCCATCCATCTCAAATCTCACTTTGCCAGGCTGCGCCCGCTGAAGCTTTGAGCTTTGCGTGCCATCGGTTTCTTCGCTTCCACCACGGGTACTCGACGCTGACCCGGATGGCCGGTCAGCTGGGATGGCACCTGTCGAGCTCAACTTTCCCCCAGCAACAGAAGCAGTCGTATGGATTTGTTCCAAGATGCCTGCAACTTCCGCCATTGGCATGGAACCTCATGCAAAGGAGTGCAGAGCCTGTACTCAATGCCAACATTGCTCGACATATGAGCTTCATCTTATCATATCACATGCTTGCCTGACTTCAAGCAAACGGTGCAATTTGGCCCGGCACGCTTGCTCGTTCCCGCAGAGACGTTGCCGCTGTCCTTGGGGCACAGATGTGGGAAGCACCACTTGGAATTGGCCTCATTTGCCTGAAAAAAACTGAAACCAGCCAGTTGCAAACCAGGCGCTAGTGTCATTGTCCCAGGTGCGCTCGCTTGTAGCTGCTGTGTGTCTGCTAAAATGCTGGCAACAGATCGGCGTGCATCCTCAGTGCTGGAGTTGTTTGCCAATCTACGGACAGCAGTGGCCGGGGCAGCCAAAGCTTAAATGGCAAATGCATACCAAGAAGCATTCGCAGTATTGCGGAGACGCGTCGTCGACTCATTCTCACCAGACTCTGCTAGTGCATTAACATGCTGCTCCAGCACCAGGAACATTGCGTCCAAGCTTTTCGCAACCAAGCCTGGCCACAAACAAATTGACTGATTGCCATTAAGTACTCACGCATCCCACCCACAAGACTCTGGGGGTTGCCAACAGCAATACCCAAAAGACACTTCGGGCCAAGACGAACCAAGCGGAAACTCCAGCGAGCAAATTGCAAAAGACCAAGTCTGGCGGATTCCGATTGACGACGGCTGGAACCCTTCACCGATTCTGCTCCTGCTTCATCAGTCTTTCGGGCAATCCAAACAAGTGTCCCCCAATTTGTTCGGAGATTATTCAGGGACAGTCCTAGAACTATTTTGTGTCATGCCTGTCATGCCTGTCATGCCTGTCATGCCTGTCACGCCTGTCACGCCTGTCATGCCTGCGGTTGGCATGGAGTTCATGCCTTTGGCATGCTTGGGGCCTGGGAAAATTGGCTGCGAGGATCGGCCCTCAGGTTGGGCCTGCCACCTGCAAGTGCCCTGTCGCCATGCCAAACGTGACTCTTCAGCTGAATGTGTGGGGCGCGATTTGTGCTGGATGTTTAATTTTACTTACTGTCTAGACCCTCCTGCAACCCCTCTGCAGTAGCTATGACACTCAACACATTCCAGATCACGAGCAACCTGCGTCTTAAACTTTGTAAATATTGCCAGAAGGCTCAGTAGCAACGGAGCTTGCGCACTTTCCCAAATGGCCAAAGTTCGGGCTGGTTAAAGTGTGAGAGCTTCCACGTTGTCTCCCTCCTATTTGCCGCACTTCGCAGCCAAGCTGCTCACATTGTAGAGCTCTCGGTCCGCCATTGGTAATGGGTTTGGATCGACGGCCCTGCCCCTGAGAGCAGCAGCATTGCACACTGGCCCGCTTAACCCAAATCCGTTCCCGAGTCACGCTTTTGCAAAGCCAAGCTGACAAGTTCAGAATTTGACAAGATCGAAACTACAAGGTATAGAGATTGCTGAAGGGAACACCGCAGCTCTCCCCCACTTCCCTTAAATGGCCAGGCAACTGTGGCAAGGTGCTCGCCACGAGTTGGTGCATGCCGACATCCACCCACTTCGATTCTTGAGCCAAATTAGCCGAGCAAACGATACATGCTGTTCTGGAAGCTCATGGACAATGCGTCAATTGAAGCATGTTCTCGGCTCTGCAGCGTCAGCAGGGACTTTTTGAGAGGATGTGCATGTGCATGTATGTGCTTAGGACCCCGGCATGCTAAGTAGAGCCCTGCCTGTGGCAACCAAGCCCCAGAGAGACAAATCTGTGGATGATTGCAACCTTCCTTTACTGTGCCAAACAAGTGTGCCACTCCGGCCTGCCCAAAGCAGTTGGCATGCTTCATCTGAGCCCCGGCTTGTAGCAAAAGCTGAACCTTGGCAGGAAAAGACCTGAAAGGAACCTGCAAATTCTAGCCTGTGTCGCCCACGAGCAGGGCGGCAAGGCTGGCAACGCTGAGACACCCAGGACGCCCGGCAACTGCTCCGTGGCCGCGTGCTGCAGCGCGAGCGAGCGGAGTCTCACCGCGGTCCGTTGTGACCTCCAGACGCTGGTCCTGACGGGGCGCTTCGCCGTTTTTGTTTGGGATGCTTGGGGATGCTTTGGGAATGATGTGGGATCAGCAGCTCTTTCGCTCTTTCCAACTCCCATCTCGGGCCTTGGGTGGCGAACCCGACCTGGCGAACGGAGCAGTAACAGTGACTGGCAAGACGGGCGCTTCTTCTCAGCTCGAATAGCACACGGCTCTCCCTAAGCAATTCTCAGGCCTCACAGGCAAACACAACAGTTGGGGCATCTGAGTGTCTGGCTCTTTTCTGCCCAGCAGCACAGCAGTCGCCACAGCCGATCCAGATTCGGCTGCAAAGTGCAACACGCTCCGCTGGTCCAGCGAAACCGCAGCCTTCGCTCTTGACTCGGCAAATCGTTTCAAGCGGAGCCGAGGAGAAGCCGAGGTGCCGGGTTGGCCTCCTTGGAGATCAGCGTCTGGACCTGAAATCACCGAGATTCGATCAGATCTTGCGAGGGAGATGCCCCAGAGTTCAGGAATTCCACAAAAAATGGGATGCCCTCAATTTACCCAATGGGTTAACATCCGCCCTGATCATGACTGCTCTCGCTCGGGCTTTACTTTATGTGCGGCTGCCTCCATTTTCCTCAGCCCGAGTTTCAGGCTGCCATTAGCCCGCCGTCGCCACAAGCATCGACACGATTTGGGCTCCAACTCGCCAAAGTGCTAAAGCCTCTACAAACAAATTCAAATCCAGCAGATCTGAAAGCCATACTAAAGTGATCATGTTGCAAAGTGCTCCTCAGGTGGAAGGCCGTCCCAAGACACGTGCAAGCTTATGAAGGGGAAGCGCTGGCGGAACTGCGCCATCGCGCACATGCACGACAAGCAGGGCACCTCTGTCATGAAGAGCTCCAATTTGCCTTCCACCATGGCCTCTGCCTCCCTGCCAGGTCCGCAAAGGTCCACTTCTGGACGCGCACCACTTGCAAAGAGCTTTGCTGCTTCCTCTTCGACGGATCCTTCGTCCGGGTCAGGTGCCTCTTGGAGCAAGGCTCGAGCAGCTGCCGCGGTTCTTGCCAGCGCTCGGAACTCTGCATCCCATGCGCGGTGGTCCACTCGGTCATGGTGCAGCTTCACGTGAACCAAGCCTGCACAATCCTCTCGATATTTCACCATTGTACTGTTGAGCAAGCGCCCCGATTCCCGCGCACTGACAGAACCACTTTTGGCACAGATGGTTGATCTGAAGAAACACCAGTTCTGCCGCTCGCCCCTACCATCCACTTTTGTACTTTTCGGGCTTTGACATGTGCCACCGACAGCGCTTGCATGCAACACTGCGTCATCCTCAAGGGCCCTCTCCACACCTATAGCTTTCAGCAATCTCCAGGAGTGCTCGCTTCCAAGGCCTCGAATGCGGAACGCTTGAAGGGATTCCTGGTACCGCCTGACTGTTGGAATGTCCTTGGCTGTGCTTGACGCCAGGATGGCAGTGAATTCGTCGGAGGCAAGAAACCCCTGCAAGCGCAAGCGCTGCGTCGAGATCATCTCGTTCACAGCCTGCCAGCCTCGTAAGGATGTCAAGTCGCCGCCCAGCTGCAGCCACGGCAGGACCGCATCATGGACCACCCAGGCGTCATCGGCATCCACATCCCCAGCTCCCGACAGCAGGCGCTGCTGGAATTGGTCCAGGAGCCGCCTCATGGCCCCCAGCGTCAAGGCCTCGGTGCCCAGCAAGGCACCCAGCCGTGGAAGCCCTGCGAAGGTGAAGGCCAGCAGCTTGGCGTTGCTCCAAGTCCCCAGGCCTCGATGACCGTTGGTCACCTCCCCGATCAAATTCAGCAGTTGGTCGTGCCGGTGCCGCAGGGTGATGAATGCCCAGGCCACCATGGCCAAGTGCTGCCCATGAAAGTCACTTCGGCGGCATGTCTCAGCTGCCACTGCTTCCATCAGGGACTCATCGTACTCACCCGCAGATGCGAATGCCCACACTGTGTTGGACAAATCTTGGTTGTTGAATTCGGATATAGTGCGGACTGAGGTGGAAGCAAGGACTTCGTAGACGTGCCTGTCCTTGGCCAGCAAGGTCGTGAATGCCCAAGCTGTCGTGGAGATGTCTTGTGGGTTGAGCTTTTCCAGCTTGTCTGGCACAGCTCTGCCTATTTCTTCGAGCAGCTCCTCAGGCCGGAAGAGTACTGCGGCAAATGACCAGATCGCCATTGCGAGGTGCTGGGGCGTGTATGCTGCCAAGCCCTCGGAATGCGTGCCAAGCATGGCCTTTACCGCCTTTGGAAAAAGGTGGGAGCAAGCATCCTGCGGCGCGACTGTGGCATAGGCCCACACAGTTTGCGCCAGCTGACTGGGCGTGTATTCTGACAGACGGGAGTCCACCAAACAACTGCAGCGGCGGAAAAATGCGTCATCGCGCTGCAAGAGCTTCGCCCAGGACCAAATGACTCGTGACAAGTCGCCAGGCCCCCAGCTGGCACTACCCTGCTCACGGACCACCGACCCGACAGAGGAAACCAGCTCTCGTAGCTCTGGGTCAAGATCTGCGCTGAGGGTGGCAAAGCTCCAGGGGATCAGCGAGGTGCTCATGGCATCCCATTTGCCGGGGCCGTCTCGCACTGCGCATCGATGGGCCGCGAGACGCAGCAGCGGGAGACCATCCGGTGCCCGAAGGCGCGCGACTGCCCAGGCCATGTTGGCCAGCTGGCGCGGCTCCGCTTCCTTCATGGCGTCTGGCGAGCTCAAGCTCTCGAGAAGAATCCGCCAAGAAGGGTGCCGACGCACTTGCGTTGACAGCCGGTCCCGCCAGAGCCGCTGCTCACGCTGGGAAACCCCTCTGGTTCTGCCTGGTTGCGACTTGATGTGCTTGTCCACATCGTGGCTGAGGCGCGCAAGACGGTGCAAGGCCATGGTGCATGAGAAGCTATCCATCTCCGCCAAGCGATTCCCAAGCACCGTCTGCAGCTCCTCCACCGTGCCAGCAGCGTCCAGCGAGCCCAAAATCTGCCGACGCTGCAAGTTTTGGAGGCCCGCATGCCCGTCACGCACTGCCGCATCTGCAGCTGACAGCACCACCCCTGCCCGTCTCAATCCGCGCCCCGCCAAAGAGCCATAGTAGGATACAGAGCACCCGGTCTCTATCTGTGCTGTGCTAGCCAGCACTTGGGAACCTGGAAGTGAAGGGCCTGCCGCCTGAGAGATGTCAAGGGGCCCTTCTGGAGGTTCCTGCTCAATGGGTGCCGGGTCCGCTTGCACTGCAAACTTCCGCGCGGCATAGTATGATACCATTCAGCAGCTGGGACCGCAGCGCATCTGCGGCTCGGCGTCATTGATGGAAGTCAAAACTTTAAATGGGTAAGCCCCTCACAAGCAATACCACTCCAACACTTCCGTGTGATGTTGCTTGCTTCTTGTGTCTGGCTTCTGTGCGGGCCTTCATTTGTTTGATCTGATGCTTGCGCAGGCGGGGGTGGGAAAAGCCTGACACAAACACAGTTCAGCTGGCAAGTGTACTTATACAAAGAGCTGCACTGACCGGGGTACGGGCAATAGCACCGGAGTTGCTCTGTGCTGCCAGGTGCAAGGGCGTAATACGATCACGATTCTCCACTTGGACGCTCGCCTGGATGAGACACGCAAAGCCCCGGTGGACCAAGGGAGATGCAACAGGTTTTGTGCGCCAGTGCTCACAGCATGTGCCAAGCCCGCCTTTGCATTGATCAGGGCCTGGGCGATGCCTTCAAAGCCCTGCCGAGCAGCCCAGTGCAGTGGAGTGTGCGCCAAGCCATCCTGCACCTAGGAGACAGGGACGACTTATCAATGCGAGCGGCAATGAAACTACCTAAGGCAGCGTCTGAAGGATTCGCACGCAGCTCTAGCAGCGCCTCTTACCCCCGTGCCAGATTTGACCGCTCATGCCACAAATCGTAACTTAACACATGGAAACGTCAAATCCATGGCCTGCACCGTGCGATCTTTGCCTGGCTCGGGCTTCGGCAAGCTTGTAAAAAGCACGGGGCTTCAGGACAGTGACTGCGTTGCTCCAAGTCAAACCTTTGAGGGTAGAAGGCTGGCCTTCGTACACAGCCCGTAGAAGTCCATCCTTCAAGCAACTCCTTCTTTCGTCCTGATGGCGAGGCCCATCCATTTGCTCGGGTGACAGGGTAGCACGGGGAGTGCGGGAGTGCGCCCGGCAATGGGAAGAAGTGTTCGCCGCAATGCAGCGCCCGGAACATGCTGGCGGTGTGAGGAGCAATAGCTTGCTAGCTAAGATCGGAAAGTAATTAAAGCTCCACACTTACGGCCGGCGTCCATGCACGCTCGGCAAAGTAAACCTTGGGAACAAGCCGATTTCACATGAGGCTCCGTCAGCATATATTGAAAATTAGTCATTTAGTGAGCACCCCCAGATACGTCGCCCAAGCCAAATCCAAAAGCGGAAAGAAAATGTGCTTCCCCGACATCGCCAAGCATTGATTGATCAATTGCGACATTTTGTGCGACATGCAGCATGTGCGAAGACCGAATCAGTACTGTAAGCGATGTCGAAGCCAACAAAGCTGCTTTGCGGATGAGTGAGTGCAGTCCTCAGACATCTCGGACAGGCGCTGTTGCATTTGTGACGTGTTTCCTGCGCCAGCAGTGGCCGTAGCGCATCATGCAATGTAACATCTGGAGCAAGCTTGTGGCTCGCGATGCCAAACAAACGGGTCACACAGCCTCTGTTGATAGAATCAAGAGCATCTTGAGCGAGCGCAGGCCTGTGCAAATGCTGACTGCCAAAATGCTGCCCTGGGTGTCCGTATGCAGTACTGAGGCTGCTGCATTCCAAAATGCGATCAAATCGATCCTGCGTTACAGGGCTCTTGAGGCACATGGCCTATAGAGATGAAGAGAAAACTTAAGAATGGCCTTCCGGTGCTGCGGTGATGCGGCCGTTGCTTTTTGCAACGGAGGCTGTATGTGAGACCGCAAAATGCTATATGTTCAGTGGATCTGTAAATCTGTTGCCTTGAGTACGAGCCTGCGGTCTCCTTTGTTGCTTTGTCGCCCATGAGCTGTTGATCTGTGTAGGCTTCCACTCAGGGCTCTCTCTCCCCTGCGCTGGCTCACGAGGCAGGCTGCGGTGAGCTGAGAGCCATGAGCCGCCAGCAGAATGCACCAACAAACGCGCTTGGCCCTTGCTTCCCGCTTGCGCGAAGGCTCAGCTCAACCTCCAAACGTATGCCTCTTCAGCAGTTGTAGGCAAGTCGGCAGGTTTGATGTTGGTCAACCAAGGTTCGTGCGACGGAGTGCAGCGCCCCAGGTGCAACCTGGGCTCGCTTTGGTACTGCAGCTTTAGTGGGATGCGCTCGTGGAAGGCAACACCGAGATGCCTTCGCCTGGGGCAGCTGCATTGCTGCTGTGTGCCAAGCGCCGGGGCGCGCAGCCTGCAACTCACATACGTGCCATCGCTCCGGCGTTGGGGTCACGTCTTGTCCACGCTTCCGGGACTCGCCTGCACCAAAGCTCCTTGCGTGATGTCCGGACGCTTCTTGCTTCCCTGTCTCTACCTTGCGGGCTGGGTAAGCGCGTGCCCACAGAGTGCCCTGCAAATACAGCAGAGCTTCCAAGTCCATCGCGAGCCTAGCTGTGGGCATGGTCGCCGAGGCGACTTGAGTGCCGCTGCCGCGGTCCGTGGGGACCGAAATGCCTCACGAAAACCGAAACCCCAAGACATGTTGACCCCCCAAACAAAACGAACTATCAAGCGCTGACCCTAATTACACCAAAACCTGAGCCCAAAGCCGTGTTGAACCTAAACCAAGGCCTAAGCCCTACACCGTTTTGACCCCAAGCCAAAGCCTGAGCCATAAGCCATGTTGACCCTAAACGAAAGCCTAAGCCCTAAACCATGTTGACCTGAACGATAACCAAACCCCAAAGCATGTTGACCGTAAACCAAGCCCTTTATCCTAAATCATGCTGACCCTAAACCTAAGCCTTCAACCATGCTGAGGGGAGAACAAGACCTGAGCCCTAAACCGTGACCTTAACGAAAACCCAAACCCCAACCCGTGCTGACCCTCATCCACGGCCAAGGCCCTAAACCGTGTTGAGCCGAATCAAAACCCAGGCCGGTCAAGCCCACCGGTCGTGCTAAGGTATCAGCCCTCCGTGGCGTGGGAGGCTTAGGCGGCATCGGAGGGTCTCCTAGGGGTGCACTGCCACCACTGCCACCAGCTGGTCATTGGCATTGGAAAAGGCCTGGTAGCCGTGCTTCCGGGAAAATATGCGCCAGTGGTGGCAGCCAGAACCTCACCGAGCACCCAGCACCCCTTATAACTTTGAAACAGTCACAAACGCTGAGGTCGTCACTCGCCCAACACCTGGCAAAGCGGCCACATTGGTCCACACTCTACCGTATTGAGGGCAGCCCGCCTCTGCTGAGAGAAGTGTTTTTGCCAGTGAAGATGACCTGGTCACGATGCAGCCGCATCGCAGCACGTGCACGCGCACAGACTCAGAGAGAGAGAGAGAGAGGGAGAGAGAGAGAGGCACAGACACATACAGACAAACACACGCGCAGACACGAGAGCAGCAGCGCCAGCGGGATGAAACAATGGCTGAGCTTTCGGCTCGCTGCCAACACCCATGGAGACTGCACAGTGGGCGAAAACCCGCACTCCGTAATCCCAAAACAACGACAACTAAAAATCCGAAACGTCAACTGGAATTGTGGCGCGATGACAATCAAAGCAAAACCCCAATCCAAGACAGGCATTCACCTGCCCCACCAAGTAGTATTCCCTCTGCGACACCCAAATGAGGTCTGAGGCAACTTCCTTGAGCACTTTGGTGCTTTGCAAGCGTTCCCCGGTCGATGCTGCACAGCTGAACCTCAGCATGCCGGAACAGAGCAATCCATGCCCTGCAATTCGCTGGGTTTACAGCCAAGAGGTTCGGCCATCGTGACTCACCTGGCATCGGCCCAGTCCGGTATTTCAACTCACAGCGTGTGTGTGTGTGTGTGCCACACTCCACATTTCACGGTGCAGCAGAGCCGACAGTGAGTCAAACATGAGTCCAAGAACACGTCAAGTGCCATGCCATGCCGCCTTCGGACCCAGCCATGAGGTTGGCCAGCACCCCGGCAGGAAGGGTCTCTTGTGCCGGCGCTTCCCTGAGTGAAGCAGGTGGCTGAGATGAGTTCGATGGTGTGACAGCTACCGCGCGTGCACATCGACCAAACTGAATCCGCCAAGGCGCAATCTTCGAGGAAGCTGGCACACCTGGTAGGGAACAGCCCAAACCACCCCACCCACATGACCACATAGTGAAGTGGCTGCAGTGCCTGCTCAGGACTCTGAAGAAACATACAGCTGCTTGGATCCTGTGAGAATCCGAGCCTAGGCTCTCGTCTGTCAACCCCGTTCATGTTCGCGTGTTCCCTTGGGCTCCCAACAGGATGTGCTGCTCAAGGCCAGGCGCACCTACCTGCGCAAGGCGCGAGGCGCGAGTCGTGTGTGACTACTTCAGGCGGTTCGAGCTGTGCCTTGGAGACTCTCCTTTGGAGATCGTCCTCAATCATCCGGGCGAGTTGGAGGTAGTTCAACGGGCCTGCAGCTTGGGCATTTCAGCGCGTAGTAAATACACATTGCACCGTGGAAAGGCAGCGTTCATGTCCACCAAAGGCCCGGGCACGCAATGTCTGCCTAACTTGTCACAGCTCTCTCAAAACGACGGCATTCGTCCAAGGGGAAGATCGTGAGCAGCCTATCTCACATTATGTTGATTTCTCCTGCTTGCTGCTTCATGGCGCTCGCCTACGTGAGCCCCTCGCAGTCGAGCATGCAGCAAGATCGCGCCGGCATGCCACTGCAAAGCTCTTTGAGGCGCTGACGTCTCGAGGCTGCTGTCCTGCGAGGGAGGTTCGATGCCGCAAGCCGCAAGCAACGAAGGCAGAAAGTGGAGCATTGCCAGCCTCCAGTCATCCCAGGCATGGCCACCCCGCCACCGTGAAGTAAAGACTGCCTGCTGGCCGTATTGGAGCGGGGGGGGGGGGCGTGGAAGCATAAAGAATATGAAATCATGTGGCTGCTGGGGCTTCAGCTGCAAAGCTGCTGCCAAACTGCTGGTAAAGAGCCTCAGTTGCAAGAAATGGCCTTCAAAGGTCGCAATACTATGTATTACAGGGTGTTACAGAAAGCTACCGCATATAGCAATCGTAGCAATGTTGCGCTGCCCATTTGCTGATTTGTCCAGTCAGACCTCAAATTCTAGGGCCCCTACCCATAGCATTGGGCGCTTGATGGCAGGAGTGCCTCCAGGCCTTGCATCAAACTGACACTTCAATGGCTGACCAGCTGGCCTTGCAGCGCTTACCTCAATAAGCCTTCAATAAGCCTTAATATCTTCCCCTTGGCGCCGTTTTGCTTGCCACTTTGCTTTCGGTCAGGCCGTGCGAATCAGCACCCGGGCCCCCGTCAAAACCAGCCCGCCAGGGCCTCGAAGCTTGCCAAACGCCAGAACCGTTCTGCCGTGGCGTCTCTTCTATAGCCGGTGCACTAGTGACACTAGTGCCATGGATGGGCCTTTGGGCTCGGTGCCAGCCACGTGCGCGCCAACGGCAAGTCTTGCATGGTCAAAAGCCATTCACTCTACACTGGTAGTCAGAATTGCCGGGTTCAAGCTTTCAACAACAACGCCCTGAGGTTGATCATGGCTTCCTGGAAGTCAGAAACGGATGCCCGCGAGGAGAAGTGAGACTTTGAACCTCGCTGCTTCTCAAGCTGACGCTGCAGTGAGTCACGTGGCGCCAATCCACTGGCCCACGGCTGGCGAAGGTTAGATCAAAGCAACACGGGAGCTATCAAATGTCTTTAGCAACAGACTCAACAGACTCCGCTGCGTGCTCAAAATGAACAAGTCTCGCTGACTTGCTGTGAGTTTGCCGTGGGTGCCGCAGTCAACATGCATTGAATTGCAAGTATGCAATTCGTATAGCCCACACAGTGAAAAACAGCTCGGATCACCCACGGGGAAACCTCGCTGTGCGAGTCTAATTGCTGAACCCTCACCAGATCTCCCAGCGTGCGCAAGCCGAATCGGCCTGCAGGTTCTGTCTCCGTAAATCTTTATGTCTGGGCAGAAGAAGTCTGTTCAACGCGCTACTGCGGGTAGGTTGCACAGGTTGCGCCACACTGCACAGAAAACCGAGGCACATTCACCTGCCTCATCGGCGACGATCGCGGTCACGATCCTTGTCGCGATCCCGGTCACGATCACGGTCGCGATCCCGGTCTCGGTCCCGGTCTGGCAGGGCACTTTGTGGGAGAACGCGGGTTAAGCGAATATCGAAAAGTGGTTCGCTTTGACTCACCTTGCCCCAACCGCACATCATCCGCAAACAACACCTACAGGACATGTGCAGCTGTGCATTGGCAGCTATGCTGAGCCCCATAAGTCCACTTCCCCCAAAAAAAAAGAAGGTTGCGAACTCTCCAACGAGAAGCTCAGAGTAGTCCACGCACACATCTTTCCTCCAGTTGTTGCCCCTTGCATCTGCTTGCCAATGCAAACATGTCGTCTATACACTGATCCTTCACATATATGTTATAGTCTAGTCATACATGTTTCCACATCGACTGTGCAATGGTTCGTCACTTTAAAGGCTCCTGCGACTTTTTCGGATCTCCGCGACAAAACTGTCGGCTTTTGCGCTTGGCCTCCGCCTCCTCCACCTCCTCCGCCTGGAGCAGCCTTCACATGCGACAGCCAAAGGTACAAAGAGCTGCTTGTTTTGACCCATCGGCAGGCACCTGGTGATTAGCAGATCTTGGTTGAAATGGTGGCAATTGGAGGACAAAAAAAAGGGCATCCCTTCTGGCTTACCGCACGTCTGCAACGCCAGCTTATTTTCCACGGAGGATCAATGGCGGGCCATGCAGTCTGTGACATTTGCAGCATTGCGCCCCCCCATCTCCTCAAGGCGGTACGGGTCTAGCGGGCGGGCTTTCTAGCTGCACTGCTTAGGATTCAGCTTGCAGTTCAAACAGTAGTTTACATCTGACAAGCTGAGCGACAAAAACTGTGGATTATGCGAGAGCTGTTCCATGGGGTTGCTGGACACATTGCCAGTGATGATCGCATCGATGTGCGGCTTGATTGCCACTGCCAGGTATTCTGGAATGCCACTCAGCGGGTAAAAGCCGGTTGGGGGGATCTCTGCGGCAACCACGGCCATGTAATAGTTGTACCTTCGGTCATAGAGCGGAATGAATCCGAAGGCGCCGGGGTCCATGTGCACCTTGGCCTCCTCACATTCTTTGGTGAAACCTTTGATGCTGTCAAAGCAGCCCAGGAAATGGCCGAAGCCGTAGTCCCCATAGAGGGTGTACATGTCCTTCATGAAGGGCGTGCTGTCTACCTCCGAGGCATCGATCAATGGCTTGCTCAACACCTTGTGGCCAAGAAGGGCGGCCATGAATTTCTCATAGTCCGCTCCGGTGGTCACCAAGTCGACTCCGAAGTCTGGATTTGGGACCGGGTAGGAGCTATCCGTCATGTCATAGGCCTCAACGAGGTACTTCTGGATGATTTGCTTGATGTTCAGCCCACTGGCAGCCATGGCCACGGCTCCGGCCAGCTGCAAGTGATTGGAATTGTAGGAATACACCTGGCCGGGTGTCCCGATGAGCTTCACGTTTTCGTAGATCCACTTGGCACAGCCCTCCAAATCTCCCGTGGTGCGATTGCAAGGCTGCGACGCCAGGCGGCGGCTGGTGATGGGAACTTGGTCGGCGGCTTGGTTGGCCCGCCAGTTCCTCGCTGCTCGCGTGTTGGCCTCCTCCCCAGGGTGCCCATCCCCAAAGCCAGAGGTGAAACTGAGCAGCATGCGGTAGGTCACGGTGGATCTGAGATCTTTTGGATCTTGAGTCCACCAGGGCAGGTACTTGGAAATAGGATCATCCAGGCTCTTGACAGAGCCGTCCTCCACGAGACCAGCGAACATCATGGCGGATGGCCACTTGCTGGTACTTCCGGTCGGAATCTTTGTCTTGAGCGTGAAGTTTCCGCCTTCGTAGGTGAACAGGCGGCCATGCGTGGCATCCCCCACAACCACCGCATACTCGGTTGTGAACTCCCACTGCTGCAGGATTTGGCGCAGCGGCTCCCAAGCTGACGCATTGGGTGCTGCATGTGTGACTGGATGCGTGACCACGTTGTCGAGCACATCCATCCACCTCAACCATCCCACGTGAGCTCCTAAGGTTAGGGCGGCACCTGCCAATAAGAACACAGGGCCATACGCCATTGCTGCACGCCGAAAATCAGGCTATAATCAGGCTCCACTTGCGAGAATCGGGCTATTGCCAACTAAAGCGCTTGGGGCTTCAAAACGCGTTGGAACGGTCAATTGTGCAACACTCAAATCTTCAAAACATATACGTAGCGAGAGCAAAGCGAAAAGTGGCATAAGGCGCTGTGCCACAACAAAATCAAGAGCCTTCTTCTTCTTGGTGCCTGCTGGGAACTTCGGCGGATTCTGCTTTGGGGCCTTGTGAGAAACAAGAATCCAACACCTTACACCGCAGGCAGCCTACTTTTGCTTGAGCTCTGGGCATCATCAATGAGGAGAAAGTTCAGGTCAGCATGGTCTGGCAGAATTACCTCAATGTTGCTTTGCTGCAAGACTGCTGTGCAAGCAGCATGGCACTGGTACTATCTGCTTGCCACCTTTATGCGAGAAACATGCCATGTCTCTAACTTTCAGTGAAGGATCATACCGGATATTGGCCCCTCGGATGGACAGGTACGCCATGCTGACCGGATTCTTGTGTCTCACGGTAACCTTCACCTGTCAAGCTTCACGAGATCAGACAAAAAGCGCGGTGAAGCAAAGAGTTGCCTGCTTGATGTGAATGTTCATTGAGCTGTCTACCTTACAAGTTCCGCAGAACAGCACATCTCCATACTTGTGCCCGCAACCCATGCAAGTTACAAAGCCAAGCTGCTGCTGTAATAGTACCCGTCACTTGCGTACCATTCTTCAGCTCTATAGTAACCGTCTCATTCACCTTGGCAGCATGACGTGATGCAAATGTCGCTGAATCCCGGAAAGCACGTCCGGCATACTGGCTCAAGTACTCCAAACTCACTGTGCTGCCGACCATCTTCCCCAAGAACCTGCACAGAGTCAAGAATGGGTCAATGGGCCATCATCCCAGGCATGTAAGTTAAACACGCCTTTGCTTCACCTCTCTCTCACCTCTCGCCCGCCTGTTGAGCTTCATGGCGCCGCAGCCGGCCTAGGGCTGGCCTGCCCTCTTGGGAAACAGCTGCAGCAACTGCGGCTCTCGGCGAACTTCCTTCCACGGGATTTGCGTGGCGGCGGGGGGTTGAAGCATTCCACGACGGCTGTCCTTTCCAAGGGTCCAAAAGTGACGGCAATAAATTGACCTAGACAGCGAACCTGGCAGGCTAACAGGACCGAGTGCAAGGTGCTGACGGAATCAACCGCTGCCAGCAAATGGAAGCCGCAAAGGTGCACCGCAAGGCTGAGTTCCGCGCACACTTGATCAGGGCGGCAAGCACAAAGAAGAAATGCAGCCTGAAAATTGGAAGCACAACATGTTGAAAGGCAGTCAGTCGCGTGCCTGACGCGCATTGTGTTTCCCCTGTGCTCTTCAGGCAACCCCCCCTCCGCTTGCCGGCTGGAAAAGCTGGTCTCTTCGCGCGACCGCTGCTTTGGCAAATCGAGCTCTTGCTGAACATGTTGGTGCGTCCAACTGTGCCTTGCAGCGTCGAAAAGTGTTTTTGCTGACCAAAAGGTCCCATCAAGAATCCACGAAGGTTTGGCTTTCAACGCTGCAACCATGCAGAACTTGAAGCCATTCCCGCTGGAAGAAGCCAAGTATTGGGGAGCTCTGCTTCAATCTGGCAATCAGGCCAAATGAGCTCTACCCCAGCAAGGTGATTGAGACGGCCCTGAAACAGTCACCATGCTCCAAGAAGTGGGCCCCGCTGAAAATACACCGTCGTATACTTTAACGCCGCTGGACTGTTGCATTTTCACAGGCCCCGAGAGGCGCGATACAGTTCCGCTGCCAGATCCGGGGGTCCGAAAAGGCGAATGCTTGCAGCAGTGCGCCTCATGTCGCGCATCTGAGTCCAGGCAAATCACCGCGAATAGCAAGCGAGCACAACAGATTCGCCAAGTCTCATATTATCTTCCCACGGCGAGAAGGACCCATTGGCATATGCCACGGCCAAACTCGGATGGCAGTGTTCAGCTAAACAACCCAATCCGCCACACGGACAAACAGCGTGTTCCGGCTCGTTCCCTACTCGATGTCAGCCAAGTTCGCCGGGTGACTTGAAGAGCGGGTTGCACGCAGCAGGATCCTAAACAAAAGGGAGCAATTGCAGGCGGGTTCTTGCGCCTCAACTGGCGTGCTGAGGGCGTGGCTTTGCATCCAGGAAAGGTCACGAGCAAGTCACCGTCTTCGAAGGCATCGCAGCCCATAAAATGCGCGTTCAGCGCCTCATAGATTGCAGGAAGGCCAAGTTCCAGGCAAACATGTCCAGTGCACGTGGAACAGCGTGAGCTGCGACAAGCATAGGCTGCAACAAGCAAAGGCTGCACACACATGCTACCATCTTGCTTCCCAAAAAGTGACCCACTCTGATTGACCTGGCGTTCCAGCTCAGACTAGGGTCGCAATGCGCATGGTTCCTGGCCTGTAGGCCTGACTGTCGGCGCAAGGCTTTTAATACCCCTCAGCCACTGCCTCTGATGCCTCATTCTCTTCTGAGCCCTTTGTCTGGGGAGCTTCGCTATTTGATTCGCGCGCGCGCCGGACCAACTCATCAAAATCCCCAGGTCCGAAGTATCGCGTCATCGTCCAGGATTGCCGCATCTTGGCCGACAAGAGGCGCATGATGGCCTGCAAGCTGCACACATACTCACTATCACAACGCACAACTCAGCGAACGAATGGCGATGGCAAAGCCACAGTGCCTCAAATGCATTCTCTTCGCCAAGGCTTGGGCACACATCGTGCAACTCGTCCGGGGATTCGGCCGGGATTTCATGCAGAAGCGGCGGATAAACATACCAGCACCGCCAGGCTTTGCTAGCGTCCATGTAGCCTTGAAGGGTGCTTGCTGAAAGAGATTCCAAGTAGTCCATCAGGACGTCTCCTACGAGCTCCATTGGCCATTTGATGACAAACGAAGGCACGTCCACCAGCGACTCAAAGGGCAACTCCCAAAAGTCTGAGAGAATCACCGGAATGCAATTCGCGAAGAGCGCTTCGAAGAAACGCAAGGACCAGGCAGACTTGCCCTTGGGCACGAAGCAGAATTTGGCAGAGCCCATTACGGCATGCATCTCTGGAAAGCTCAGGTTCTGGGCTACGTAGATTTGACCCTTGTCCCGAAGTCTTCGGATGGCGTCCCTGACATCTGGGCCTCCCTGGCTAGGGTGAGGACCTCTGGAGGAGTCGATGCGGCCAAGAAAGACCGCCAAGCGACTCCTTTGCTCCAAAGGCTTTGCCCTCTGTGCCAGTGAGAGGATTTCATGACGATGCAAATAACCTGGGACTGCAACGTCGCGCCAAGTGTTGAAGCATGGCTCCTTCATGTCGACGACATCGTTGAAAAGCCAAGTCTCCGGTGAAAGCTGAATGCTCTCAGGCATCTCACTTCGCCAGGAGCGAAACACGTTGGCTGACAAGCCGGATCCAAACGTGAAGACATGATCGCGGCCCCTATTCCGCTTGAAGTAGGGAAGCCCAGCCAGCATTTGCTTGTACATTGCATCCAGCGACTCCATGGGGAAAAACCCTGCTTCAAACATGCAAATACTGTAAGCCGGCACGAAGAAGAAATCCGCTTCATCGGCATTGCGGGTCCTCGACAACGCTAAACGCACCGCCAACCAACTACAAAGATGAGCGGCATGCCCGACCGTGCTGTGCATGCGCGACCCGGCTAAGCTTGGCACAGGTGACTGGAGGCAAGAAGCCACTCGTGGATGTGAACCTTGCAAGCGAGCTCGCGAAGGGCGATTGCCAGGCAGATTCCCAAAACGGCGAAGATGGGCCGGCCTCCATTCCCCATTGGCCCTTGCCGCAAAATGACGCCCCTTGCGAAAGTTCTCGAACCTCCGGCGTCTCCAGGTCATACACAAAGATGCGTGGCCGCTTTGGATCCTAACGGCGCGTCCCTGCAGCGATTGGTTGGTCTGTAATGTGTGTGTGTGTGTGTGTGTTGTTCTATCTGGTTCTATGGTTTGCGTTCTGCGCCCGACAGGCCCAAAGCAATTGCCAAACGCCATCAACAGCGCCAACCATATTCCTTTCCATGGGGGATCAGCCAGCCGTCCTCAGCATCCGGAGCTTTCTGGCTCGCAAGACGCCCAAGCATAGCTCTCCGCAACGCGCTGAGACGCGAATCTTTTACCAGCCAATCTGACCTTAGAGGGTTCAAATCAAGGCATGCTCGGTGGTGAGGCATGACAAGTCCCGCTGCTGTTCAAAAGGTGATCAGCAAAAAAGTATGCAACTCTGGCACCTGTCCAGCAAATGCGGGTGAATTCCACTCGAGAAGGCGTCCAACTGTGAGAGGTAGAGGCTTGCAAGTCCCATGTGAGGCTGCTCGCTCTCGATCAAGTATTTCACAAAGAAAAAGAAAACGGCCACCACTCCAAACACGCAGTGTGTTGCCTGCACAGCTGCACAATGAAACGCACAGAACTGCTTGGATCTGCTTGGCTTCGCATGTCAAGTGCGCAAAACAAACTGGCGAAACCACTCGCAGTCCCTTCGACTAGGCGAGGTTCCGCGCGGTCCAGTTCCAGGGGATTCTCCAAGCGCTTGATGAGAGGGCCGATCACAGCCATGCTCTCTGGAAACGGGATCTGCAAGAGCTGGTACCTGGACAGGGGAGGGCTGAAAAAAGGAAGTTTAAGAACTTCCGTACTGGAACTAGTTTAGCCAGCTTGCTCCAAGAATGCAGGCATCTGCGGCACGTGATCTCTAAGACTAGATGTCATTCAACCTTCAAACAAAAAGCTACGCAAAAAGCTGGAAAACCGGAGAACTGGAGAACCGAGGTGGGCCGAAACAGTGGCCCCGCACGTGAATTCGGCCCTTTCGTGTGCGCGCAATCAGTCGCGACGTCTGCACGGACGCAGGCTCGGAGCGGTCTCGGAGTCTCGGAGACGGGGCCCATGGCCGCGCGCAGTTTCGCAGCCTTCAACAATGAACCCTGTACAAGCTGTGCGCACTTTGGGTTGCTCGACCCTGTGCTTTTTGATGTTTGCTTTCGCGATCTTCACTTCGCGCAACCCTCCGCAAACTTTCGGGGGGTCGACCTCAAAAACAAATGTGTTTGTGTCTTTTGGCTTGCGCAACCATCTAAAGGTGAACCCTCTGCGGACTTTCAGTATCGACACAAAAAAAGAAAAAAAAAAAAACACGCGGTTTTCACTAGTTGTCACTTTTGTAGACTGGAGAGAAAGAGGGGGAGAGAGGGAGAGAGAGGGAGAGAGAGGGAGAAAGAGAGAGAGAGAGAGATATATATATATATATGTGTATTCTATTTTTGCATAGGGAGAGAGAGAGATAGAGAGGAAACAAAATGAAAGAGAAAGAGAAAGAGAATGAGAAAGAGGCAGAGGCAGAGGCAGAGTATTGTTTGAAACTTCCGCCCCCCGGCTCCGCTGGTTTTACCAGAAAGTCACCGAGCGCCTCACCACATCCCAGTCTATTCCTTCTGTTGCGTTGGCCGTCCGTTCGCAGTTCGGATCGTTCCATATCCTCGGAATTGTCCCCGCATGCCCCAACCTCCCAACGAGTGTCAAAGGGAAAAGCGCACTGAGTTAAAAGCCATGCCTGACTGGCGGAAAGCCGAGGCTCCTATCCGCCTCCTCATCGCTTGCCTTGAAGGACTGCCCATCCACTGCAGATGCAGGCTGGAAGAAGAGAAGCGCGGCAAGCCATAGCATGCCATGCAAGATCTGGTGTCAGTCCCCACTTACTTGTCTTGAAGAAGCTTAATCTCGAGTAAGGGTCAAAGGTATTTCTTGTGCTGCATGTGGCCCGGCGCGGGCTTGCTTGAACTTCCTGACTTGGCTGTGGGGAAAGACTGTGGATTACACTGGCCCTCGAACCTGCCTGATATACCTGGTCGAACAAAGGCCATCGCGCTTGAATCCGGTACAAATTTACGAGACTGAAGCAGCCTCTCGGAGTTGTGAGCCCTCAATTTGGCGAGAGCTCAAAGATCTCAGAATTCGGCGAGAAAATGCAACTATTGGCCGCCGTTTTTGGAAGTGCCGCCACAGGAACATAGCAATCAGGCCATATAGACAAGAAAGTCGGAAATGAGAGGGCTCTTAGATTTCCCCTTTGAATCATGGGAGGCGCCTTTTTAGTGGCCGAGCGGGCGATGCATCTTGATTACAAGAAAGTTCCTGGATTGCGACGCCCCAGGTGGACCTCGTCGATCTTCTCGAGCACCTCCTCCGACAAGCCAGGCTGGCCCTCAAATGCATCGAGGTTCTCCTTGAGCTGATCCATCGATGTTGCCCCGATGATCACCTTACGCGTGCAGTCTAGAGCAAAGGATGCCTTCAACAAGCAGAAGGGGACAGCACAAGTAAAACAAGGACTTCATTTGTGTTAAAGCATACGTCTAAATCCGGGATTCTGAGCCGTGGCCGCAGTATGGGCGAGAGCGGCACCAGCGTGTTGAGAGTTCAGTTAGGGACATCTTGAGGTCCTCCGCGATGCCTGCGTAAGCCTCAATCGCCTCCTCCAGCTGCGGTATACCCTTGGCAGTGGACCACCTGGACATGAAATTTGGGAACTTCGTGTGGCGGCAATTCTCTGGAGCTTTGCCACCTCGGTACTTTCCACTGAGCGAGCCTCCAGCCAAGATAGAGTACGCCAGCAAGCCAACGTTCAGATTTGACACCGCACAGGCTTCGGCAAGCTCGTACTCAAACAAGCGGACAACCAAAGAACAGGCATTCTGGATGCTTGCTGGCATGGGCATATCGAGTTTTGTGGCCGCACGCGCCCACTCGCAGATTCCAAAAGTCGTCTCATTAGACACACCATAGGCTTTGATCTTGCCCTCCTCCAAGAGGTCTTTCAGCGCTGCGGCCGTCTCCTGCAAATCAAGCCTTACATAGCAACCGTAAGCATTTTGATTCGCGCGCCTTTTGCTTGCTGAGAACGACTCTTTCGCAAGTCCTCGATTGACACTGCCTCTCTCTCGAGGTCAGGCTTATACACCGTGCCGCCAAAGAGTGGGACATACCGATCTGGCCAGTGGATTTGGTACAAGTCCTGGGCACTTTGCTAGTGTGTCGCTGCAAACTTTGCTAGTATGTCGCTGCAATTTCCTACATGTGAGTCACTGCAATCGACACCAAAGGACCCTGCAGCCTACAGCATGATGACCAAGCAAGCACACATTTCAACAAGGGCAGCTAGGGAACGATACAGTCGGTTTGAAGCCGCCGCAGTGAGGCATCGCATGCTTGCCTGGGAAAGCGAGGAAAAAACAACCCAGCCTTCAGTGCTCCGGAGTGCTTGCAGACTCTGAAGCTCCGGCTTTATGGATTTTGCATCGGTGCGTCCATCGGGAAAGCTCTCTGGATCACCCTCTGGCAGCTCTCTCCGCGCCGCTGCCCTGCTCTTCGGCCAAAAGCCGACCTGGGCATCATCTCTCTCGAATGCATTCTGCCTGTCAGAGTCTGAGGCATTTGCAACTTTCGATGCCAGCACCACCTGGGGATTCTTCATGCTCTGTCAACATACCGAAGCTTCTGCCTGATTGGAACTAAGGCATCGGATTATAATATTTCAAGAAGGTGGGACGGAGGCTCTTTCTGCCTTGTCGCGCCATTCAGCATTCTGCTTTACCCAGGATCCGATGTACTCCTCCGTGCGGCCTGGCAAAGTGCCGCTTCTCACATGATAAAGCTGCACGGCGCGTCCATTCTACTGACCTGCTAGAAACCCTCACGCCTGCATTGCCGTCAGCTGTACATTTGAGCGAGGGGCACGCTTTGCTGTCCGTAGCAGTAGCTGAACAACCCATGCGAAATACCGGCATGGTATTGCGGTGGCTCAATCCTGCCTGGACACCACTTTGGGTCAAAGTTCGGCACGGGGTACATCTCCGCCGTGTCAATGAAGTTCACGCCGCGCCTCAGGCGCAAAGAAAGCAATGCACGAGCCCAGGCGCCAGAATAGAGCGACTGGAAGATTTGGACCGGTGACGAAAGTGAGTGTTTGCCTAAATCAACAGAATCCAATTAGCCGAACGGCTCCTTGACAGCGTAATCCAGCTGCTCGTGCGCCTCTTTCTCAGAGTTCTGGACTCCCCAGGTCATAGTCCCCAGGCACGGCTCCGTGACTTGAAGCTCGCTGGAGCCCAGTTGTCGAATCTGGAAGGCTCTTCGCCTTCCACCTGGGCATGAATCATCTGCTAAGGACTGTGTATAGGCTTTTTGAGAATGACAAGTGGCAAAGTTGGAAAATATATGGCAGAAAACGAAAAAAAGGGCATTGTTCAAACCCCCGGAATCGGACTGGCGCTGTCTGACCAGGTTCGAGCGTTTTTGCCTGTAGCAACTGCGGACCTGCACAGCGCCGTCGAGCAAGCCTTCCATTTGCAAGTGCTGAGGCTGCCCGCGTAGCAAGAAGTACCTTCATTTGCCGAAAAATCTGCTTGTTGGCATCAACATGCCAAATGTGACTTGTCACTATGAAAAAACAGCTCTGGCAACAGTTTACTGTGAAGTTGCATGGCGTTGCAAGGCTGCATGCCGCTGGATTGTGTTGCATGCCGTGTAGCGTTGCATGGGGTTGCATGCCATATTGTGTTGCATGGCGTCCCCTGCAGCTCACCATTTGGTTGCCATACTGGTGTTGCGCAATTTGTACCCTGCGTTTTTGGGGTTGGGTTGCAGGTGTGTTTTGGCAGCATGCAGGCGGCAGTCGAGCGGTTTGCGCGTTGCTGAGCTGCGGCTCGCCGCACCGTCATCGCAACACCATGCAACATTTTACGGCATGCAACCCCATGCAAAGCCATGTAGCAATGTAGCGTCATGAGATACTATGCGGAATGCAGCGCCATGCAGCACCATGCACGCTATGCGGCGTGCAACACCGCAGCGCCATGCAACAATAAACACCATCCAACGCCATGCAGCAACGCAACGCCATACAAAGCTATGTGGCATGCAGCAGCATGCAACGCTATGCGGCATGCAACACCATCCAACGCCATGCAAATGAAAGGCCATGCAGCACCATGCAACGCTACACGGCATGCAACACCATGCAACGCCATGCAACAATAAACACCATCCAACGCCATGCAACAATGCAATGCCATACGATACTATGTGGCATGCAGCAGCATGCAACGCTATGCGGCATGCAACACCATCCAATGCCATGCAAATGTATGGCCATGCAGCGCCATGCAACGCTACACGGCATGCAACGCCATGCAACAGAGAACGCCATCCAGCGTGAGCAACAATGCAAAACAATACAGTATGATTCTGATGCGCAAATGCAACACCATGCAACGCTATGCGGCATGCAACACCATCCAACGCCATGCAAATGCAAGGGCATGCGGCGCCATGCAACGCTACACGTTATGCAACACCATGCAAAGCCATGCAACAATAATCCAACGCCATGCAATAATGCAACACTATACAGTACGATGCGCCATGCAATACCATGCGACGCTATGCAGCATGCAACACCATCAAACGCCATGCAAATGCAAGGCCATGCAGCGTCATGCAACGCTACACGGCATGCAACACCATGCAACGCCATGCAACAATACAACACCATCCAAGGCCATGCGGCATGCAGCACCTTGCAGCGCTATGCGGCATGCAACACCATCCAACGCCATGCAAATGCAAGGCCATGCAGCGTCATGCAACGCTACACGGCATGCAACACCATGCAGCGCCATGCAACGCTACATGGCATGCAACACCGCGCAACGGCATGCAACGCTATGCTATACGGCAAGCAACGCCATGCAACCCCCGAAAAGAGATTGCAGTCTGCAGGTTTCAAGTAGGCTGCCGTGGCCGCTGCCGGGACATATGTCTCCAGCCGTGGCCTGGACGGCGGCACTGCGCCCACAACTGGGACAGCAGACCTTCACGGGACATGGGCAAGTGGCCAAAGGGCATTCCAGCAATGCAGGAGCCGGGAGCCGCGGTGCCCTGCCTAACAACGGGCTGCATTCGTAGCTCGTCCGTGACTCAAGGCTCAAGCGCAGCACGTGGCGCGCAAACCGGGCTCACAAATTTAATGTACAAATAACATGCTGCGTTTCAATCGAGCGTGTTTGTCCTGGCCGCTGTTTTGCCACTGCGGCTTTGAGGATTGAACGGCTGCAAAATCGTTCGCTTCATGTCGTGCCAGTGGCGTGCTCACCTGGTCATTTGATTCTCTGCGCAAGCATGTCGTGGTTGCAGCCCGGGCCAGTGGTTCTGTAAACAAACAAGTGCTAGCAAGGCGCGTCGTAGGCATTCAGCTCTCGCTGGGGCACAATGACCTGGCGGAACCAAGCGGCTCTTCCAAATTAGTGATTTGCGCGTTTAGAGGAGGCTGACGTGTGGCTTCCGACAATCGTTCAGTTAACATGATGGACCTGGTCTTCAGAATGCTTCTGATGCAAATCTGTAAATCCAAGTCGCTGCGTGAGGGTCCAGTGGGTCACCAGTCGCCTCAATGGACAAGGCACGCTGATTGAGCAGCAAGTGGATCATGGCATCCTGCAGGCCGTCTGCAATGTGTGACCCTTCTTCCTGCTCCCGACTCGTTTGGAGAATAGCTCCTGATCGCCAAAGAGCGGCATGTCCACATGGCAAAGGCTGAAGGCACGCTCCAGGAAATCCTCACAGCTTGGAGGCTTTGGCAACGTAGGTCCAAGCCAGGTTCAAGATATTTCAAGGTACAACCTAAACCCGCCAAAGCCCGCCATCTGGTCAAGGCCAGGCTGCAATGCTCCACTTGCTCCGACGTATCACCCAGTTTGCGGAACTCAGGCCCCATCCTGCCAGGCAGCTCATGAGAGTATGGGCCTCTACCGCACGCTACCGCACGGCCAAATGCACCAAAAATAGGGGAAGCAGGTCGACTCATCAAGGGCACATGCTCAAATCTGGGGGGTCAGCATTGCGCTTCACAGCATGGCTAGCTTGCAATGTTGACGGTACACTTTTCCCATTGCTAGACTGTTGCGTGCGTGCAGCATCTTGGCACTGCATGCGCAGTCATTTTCAAGAGTTGCAATCAAAATTGCTGCCTTGCCTGACAGTGAAAGAATCTGCGGAATCTGGCTGTTTATGCTTGCCTTTCACAGGCTCCAACTGTGTGCCGGTAGGGCAGCGGAGGCATCAGCTATTCAAGGATTGCGCTGTTGTGCAAACGTCATCACGGTTTGATTGAAACATCCGCGAATGGCATCGCTAGCCCCACCTTCTTCAGTGATTAGAAGGTCCACTCCTTCATCTGGTAGCCTTGGCTTGTCATCCTGGCAATTGCGCTGCACAGTTTGTTGCAAACTTGCAATGACCAATACATACACGTCTTATACCGCCCAGTCAGCCAGCTTGGTCAACGTGGCTCAAAGCTGTGGCATCGAGCCGTCCTCTGCGCCAAATAAGCTGCATCGGCTCGAGCAGCCCAAGTGCGCAGCTGGGGACAAATGCGGAGTGCTCAAGGTGGGCGTCACATCCTCAGCGCAAACGTGGAGGGGGCCACCCTGACTGGGCCAAGCCACAAGCCCAGACAGTGCGGACAAGGCACGTAGACCTTGGGTAAAAAGGGAATTGTTTGTCAAGTGTCACTTGCAATTGTGACTTCGCAGCCTCAGCATCGCCTACCTTCGCCTACCCTGGCCGACAGGCAGCTGCAATGATGCAAGCAGGAGGCCACGTAGAAATCGTCTTCAAACTCCAGGCAATCGCTCACTTCCCAGTGGCATTGCCCACGCTTTCGGCCAACCTCATGCTAAAAAAACAAACGGCGAGCGGTAATTACCCTCCCTCCCGCGACTTGTGGGTGGAAGGGTCCAAGGTGTGCCAGGTTTGCGGTAGCGATGCCTTGCTACTTCCGAGTGGCCCCATATGCCACGAATCGGCAGCCATGCACTTCGCGACACAGCTGCAAGCACAGCGGCAGGGACACAGAGATACCTGGGCTTGCCCCTCTTGCCACCTGACTATGGCAAGCAACTACTCACGCATAAATGCTGCATAAAGTGGGTGCTTGCGGATTGGATTCTGACATCCTTGTTTCACTTCAAGCCATGCTGCCCAGCAGGACATCCGGCCCAGTACATTCAGCAGCCCTCCTGCGCAGCGCCACTGGCTGCGTTTTAGGCGGCGGCGGCGGTACGGGAAGGGTGCGCTGGCAGAACGTGGCGCCAGTCTTGCAGCTGCAACCGCTGCCTGGGCTCGTGGCTTTCCGCGCTGCCTGCTTTTGTTGGTTCCTGCTACATCTACTTGCGAATGGCAAGGCTTCCTGCCTGCATCCTGCACCTGCTCCTCCTCAGGCTGCCTCGGGCATGTCTAAACACCCGAGAGCAACGCGTCACTCGAGTCACTGACAGACAGCGTGCAGATGCGCACCTCGGCACTGAGGTGGAGTTGGGTGCTGGAGTCAGGGTCAGCACCAGGAAGGCGCCGTACCGGGGATCTGTGACCTTGTCGCCATCCGTGGCCTCCTCGAACGCCGCCAGCGCAGCGGAGTAGCAGATGCCGTGTATCCGGCTGCAGTGGCAGTCCTCACAATCAAGAACAACAACTATATAATGGCAGTCCATACATGAAACATACAACACATATCAACACATCAATAAGCCAGGCGTCATTGTGGGTGCGTACTGCCTCGAACGCCGTAGCTGAATCCATGCTGCACACGCTCGAATTCCTCTAGTTCAAGCATAATTAAAGACATGTTTGTCAGCCAGCGTATCTGCCTTGTTTGTCAAATCAATCAAGAAGCCTGAGCTTCCAAAGTGACTCTTCCAGTGGCGACTGCCGAATCCGGAATCTCAATATCCGTGAAGCAGTTGTGCAGCCGGCAGTCAAAATCATTATCCGGATGTGGGTTGCACTCACCTGACCCCGCTGGTCGCAAAGCTGCGACCCAATCCGCGCGCGTCTTCAAGCGTTTGGCGCGTGACATTCGCAGTATGCAAATGATGCAGCAAAAGGCAATGGGCAGGCTGGCAAGCTGGCTATCGCGCACCTCCATGAAGGCCACCGGCCAACAAATGAAACCAACACAGTACACAGTCCCAAACAGACAGCAGACCTAGATGGATAGATGGATAGATAGACAATGTTGACCCCAGATTAACAAACCCCAGTTTATTAATATCGGGGTGTCCCAGATTGTGGAAATGTATCGCTTTTGAAGGGGATCACCCTAACATTAGACAGATGGACAGACAGACAAATAGATAGATATTCTTGGATGGATGTATGGCTGCATGAATGGATGGATCAGTTGATACATTGACCTGGGATGGACCTAGATAGATAGACAGAAAGATAGATAGATAGATAGATAGATAGGCCAGGCCCCCATGAGGCCCCGAACACGTCCCGACGCCCGCAACAAGAAGCCTAAACCCTAATCTAAACCCAAACCGAAAATCTAAGCCTTAAGCCTAAATCGAAAACCTAAAACCGGAACCTGACCCCCAAACCGAGATCCGAAATCGAGAGTTAAATCCTAAACCTACCCCAAGAGCCTAAACCCTAAACAGTTCAACTTGAGGCCCAAGCCTAGACTTGAAGCCAAGACTGAGACCCAAACCGAGCCCCCCAACGTGAACAGTGAAGTCTAATCTAAACCTAGAACGTAAACCAAATTTTAAACCGACAACCTAAACCAAGACTTAAACCCCAAACCACAAGCCTGAACCTGTTGCGTAGAACCAAACCAAAACCTAAGCCGGAAACCTGAATCTTACATAAACCAAGACCTTGTTTCGGCCAAGAATGCGCGCTTCGGGTAGCCATACAGGTAGATGGATGGATGGATGGATGGATGGATGGATGGATGGATGGATGGATGGATGGATGGATGCATGGATGGATGGATGGATGGATGGATAGATAGCTACTTAGGTAGCTATTTTTTTCAGATGGATGTGTTTGAATTGATGTGTTTAGATTGGTATGCTTGGATTGATGCTTACTTTTAGATAGATATGTGTCGACAGCTAGCTTGCTAGATGGATAGATAGATAGATATATGTTTTAGATAGGTAGGTAGGTAGGTAGATATTTGTATATATATACATCAATCGCACATTAAAGCCCAGTGCGGTGTGTTACCTTGCTTGGCTGCAAAGTTGGTGAACTACTACATTACACGCTTATCTACATTACATACGCTACGTGCGCTACAACGCATGACATTGCATTACATTGCATGTCATTCCTGAGTCATACATTGCATGCATTACATGAACGACATGCATTGCATACATTGCACTACATATATTGCATACATTTGTATATTGGCTGCAGCGTGCATTGCATTGTATTGCATTGACATGAATTGCACTGTTCCGCTGCATTGAACGACAATGCGCTACGTCACTGTGTAAGAATACATTGCATCACAGGTGTCCTCACACCGCTTTACATTTCGCCCCGGTTCACCACACTGGATTGTAATACATTGGACCCTTTTTCATTTCATTGCATTGTACTGCGTTTGCGGCATGAATGAGATACATCCATAAACACATCAAACAAACAACATCTGCGCAGCACGCATGTCTGCACTCAGCCGTTGAAAGCCAGGTTGCCCAAGCTCTGACCGCCGAGAACCACAGACGAGAGCTTTTCGCTGTCCTGCTCCATGTCAATTAGCGCTGCTCGCAGTGTGGCCACATAACGCACCCGGGGATTCACCCGAATGCTGGTGGACAGGTTGCACCCTGCATCGCTATTGCAGCTGCCCACATGGCCAACAAATGTCTCCAGAACCTCATCCTCGCGCGGCTCCTCATGATCATGGGTGGCCCCAAATGTGTCATAAGACTGCGACGGGCTGCCGCCTTCCAGTTCTGCCTGCTCCTCCTCCCTTTGCTGGTCTGCATCCGGAGCGAACCTTGCATCTCGTCGAGCGTACCGCAAAATGACGGAATCCAGCGTGCGATTCAGGTTCATGATGATGGAGTCGCAGTCAAACCACGCCACCCAATCATAGCGCCCTGACCGGAGATAGTCAGCAACGAGCTGCAGCTTGGAGTGCTGAATGTGCACACCTGCTCCAGGCATGGGGTGCTCATAGTGCACATGCACGTCGTAGCCGTGAACATTCCCGTATGCCTGCCGATTCTCTGGCGTAATGTTGCGAAGAACCAGCTTATGATCAGGAGGGTAGGCACAGATCGAGACGATGGCGATGCGCAAACCATTGACACGCGTAGTTGGATCAACCTGCGGAAGTCTCAGAAAGCGCCGCTGCTGCTCCTGGTTGAGGCGCTCTTTGAGGATTTTTATCTCTGAGACAATGCGGTCAGTGCGCGTGGCCCAGTCTCTAGCGGCCAGCTCCGGTACTCTCAGCGCGTTCCGCAGGGTGAAAACATAAATCAGAGCAAGCTGCAGTAGGCGATACGCCCGCCAGTCATCCCCAGCTGCCACGTACCTACGCGCCTTAGGACCCATGCATACTCATGCATACTCATGCCCTTTCTTCCCTGACAACTAGATTCTCTTGTTCACTAAGTCAGTGACCAGCAGATGATACCCCGCGATGACACCAACGTTGCACTGCAGAATCAATGACACGTTGGCGGTTCGCTCCGCCAGGGAGAGCAGAAGCTCTCTGGCCAAGTCAGCCCCTTGGCTCGGGTCAAAAACTCCCTGTCGCCCATACTCGACCTTGGACACCAGCAAGCCACCGAGGCACATGTTGTAAATCCGGTGCCCTATAGTTGAGAAGCCGCAGCCAATACTGTCAGGGCACGAGTTCCCGGTAAGTGCTCCAGGCCCCTCCATCCTGCCACAGGGCCAGTAGATGATTTCTGAAACCACGACATCACTACCCGCCTCCCGACAATCAAAGCGCTCATCGAAGAACGGCACCCCTTCACCCTCTTCCACGCGCGCCTTGATGTCCTTAGGCGGCTCAAGATGTTGACCCAACGGACCCACGGGAGCGGAGAAGCCGCACTAGCCAAGCAGCTGCTGGAATTGCGATCGCAGGGGCGCTGAGGGCAGCTGCCAATCCAAATGCCTTGATATGCTGCATCCATTCATCCCTTCCCGTCGGGAACTATGTTCTCTCAAGTCGGAAGCGTTGTTGGTGGGCATTTCTTGCACGTGTGATGCTGACAGTAGCCTGGCGATGGTTTCAGCAGCTGCTTGGTAGAAGTTGCAAGCTGTAGCTGGTTTCAGTGCAAACACTCATGGGCTTGATCTTGCAGCATTCGCAGCTTTCTTCGAGCCACCCAAAGGCGACATTACCAGCGGCTAGCCTTCGCTCATCTCAGCACAAAAGAAAGTAGCCAAGCAAGAGCTTGGGCTCACGCCACTCCTGGGAAAAGGTCCTCAGGCGTACGCCCCCAAATTCCGCCGCAAGAAAGCAAACAAACGGACAAGTTCAGACACGCTACAGCAAGTGATGTCTGCCAAGGGTCACAAGGGCCCATCCTCTGTGGCGTGGCTGTGCCAACTTTGGCCATACCTCGCACAGGACCCAACACACGGGCATGACTGACCCCGCGCTGCATGCCTAAGACCAAGGCTGGTGGGCCCTCCGCGGATTGTGAAATTCGAGCTGCCCGGCCGCCTACGAAATGCGACTACAAAAACCCATGAAACGACGGGCTAAAATTGATGCACCCAATAACCCTCAGTGCCCTCCACCCTGGCCCCCTGTGTCCTTTATGTCTCGCTACTGCACGCCTTCTGGAGCTACAAGCAAGCCGCCAAACAGTAAGGTCAGAGGCTTCTGAGACAGGCTCAAGAAAGCAAGTGCTCGCAAGTATTGCCGGAAGCATACTTCAAATGAGGTCGTCCGCCATGCGGTCCCCTATCTTGCTCGGAAGGTGGAACGCATTAAGAAGTGGTATTTCCTTGGCTGCACAGCCGCTGAACGTGTTTGGTACACAGCTGCAAATGCTGCGTCTACGGGCCTGTGTGTGCAAAACCTCAGACTCAGGGCCGCCTTTGAAGGAATGCAACTTCTAGCCCGCTATGCTATTTCTAGCCTAGGCAGTTCTTGCGCAAGGTTTACCATTCTGGGGTGTCTTGGCAAAACCCCCAAAGCACATGATCTCAGTAAGGCGTCATGGAACACCAACACCAGCAAGGCTTGGCAGCAAGACTCCGCACGAGGCAAGACCGAGCACAAGCAGCCAGCAAAGGGGCGCCCACATTTGCTTTCGCCGTTAACCTGTATTTGGCCCAGCTGCGACAGCATGAAACTGCTTGTAAGCGCAACTCCTCCACAACTTTCTCCAGAGATGCGACTCGCCTGAATGACCAGGCCCAACAGCAACTTCAGGTTTAGACCTACCTTGCAAGGGCTCAAAACATGCAGGAATTACTGCTCTTTCATGTCTCCGGCAAACTATGCGGCCCACTGCTGCAATTGCTCCACGACAGCAAGTCGTTCCCCAAGAAGGTGCCTAAGTTGGATGGGATAGCGCTGGGTCACTTGGCTAGTGCGCATGATCTTGCCGACTCTTTGCAGCAAACACACGTTGAGCAGGTTCACTGCCCAGTGAAGATTGGCGTTGAGGCAGCTTCTGATGCCAAGGTGCACTTGCTGACTGCGCAACTTGTCCTGCGCCATTGGGGCCATTGGATGGTTTTTGTCGGGAGGGTGAGAACAGGACGCGAACCAACAACAATCAAATGATGGCCTCCCCCCCCCCCGCGCCTCCCCCGCCAAGGTTCGCAGCTGTGAGCTTTGCTGCTGCGCAGCTGCCACAACCAGTGCCTTGGTCGGAGACTCGCGCCTGCAACGCCCCGCCCCGCTGCCGAACTGCAAACCCAAAGTGCCACAATGTGACGTCTGGGGTGGTTTTGCGGATCCAAGAGTGCCATGGCTGCCTGCCACTCCACAGTCAAACGGCTTGGGCGCTGACGATGAGATCCAGAAGGTGAACTGCCTTGTGGTTCCTGTGCTCTCTCTTCGAAGACTGCACGGTGCAAGCTCTTGCCGCTGAGGCGCGCATCAGACCGATTGAGGTTTCGAACCATGTCAGGGAGGGTTTGCTCCAGCTCCTATAGAATGGCTGTCATGCATGCGAAATGGTCACGCTGCACTGCCTGACGTCATGCCGGACGGCAGGGAAAACCATGTGACAATGAGCAGCTGCTCTAGAAAAAAGTCAAAGGGCGAAAGAGAGGCCGGCACTGACGCTGAATTGTTCTGGATGATTCACTAGATCCCAGTTCTGCCGGCCTGTCATCCGCTGTTGTTGCTGCCACCCTGTCGTTGCAAGGCTTGATCTACAGTAGCTGGCAGGCTGCACTACAACTCAGCTTCCGCCCGAATGAAGATTCTGCACCACGGAAGGGCTCAGGTTTCCATAGTGAAAGACATTGCTAGAACAAAGGGCGGCCCGCGGCCCACAACAGCCCGATACAATCCCAGTCTCCTGCGCAATGAAGCCGAACCTCGTTGATTGGGCAGGATCCGTCTTGGAAATGTATGAGACCGGCCTGCCAGCCAAGCACAGACATCACGCCGGTGCTTGAACAAAGCTGCAACATTGTGGCAGAACGCCTGCCTCAGTCGGCCAAGCACCCAATCAATGAGATGGCCCTCATCAACCTGCCCAGCAGCCAGAAGCAAGAGCACTGAAGCGCACAGAACAATAGTGACAAATGAATGCTCTGGTGCTTTTAGAACAGTTGAGTCCCAAACTCCCTGCATGGGCCTCTTGTTTTCCTTACCTTCTGACAAGTGAGGTTCCCCACAATTGGGCAGGCATGCTCTACTCAAAATCGGACAAAGCCTCAGCATTCTTGTCCTCGGCAGCCTCTTGCTGCTCCTGCACAGCGGCTTCAAAGTGGCCGCGCAGCCGGACTGCGGGTCGCGGTTCATCCGACCCGTGCCGCCAATGAAGTTCCAGGTCCTTGTCCCAAAGCCGACGCAGCGTTTTGCGCAGGGGCTCGACATTTCGCCTCGGCTGCCATGTTCGCCAGAAAACTGGGCCAAGGTGCTCCAGAATTGATCAAGGCTCACCAGGAAAGTAACTTGCTGTTGGGGCAGGTGTTCATTGGATGAGGGGGGGGGGCGCTCAAGAATTGGAGGCGAAATTGTGTGGCGCTGGTGCCGATATGTTTTTGCGCCTCGGGGGGTGAGTGATGGCATGCAGGGGGATGTTGCACGAAAAGTCGTGTTTCAAGCAGTTCTTGAGTTACCCACTTGCAGGAACCTCGGCATCCTCCAGTCAGGGCACTTGAAGCGGATGTCAGATGTGACAGTTGCCGCATCCAACGTCCACGTCCCATGAAGAATCCTTGGCGTCCATTCACCTACATACGCTAAGCATCAGGCAGGACTGGCCCTTTCCCTGGATCTCAGCGCTCTTCCCCGATCCACCCGCGGTGCTTGTCCCAGAAAGTGCTCTGTTCGAACCTCAGCAACATGCAATCTAAGCTTGCCTCGCTGGCTCTGGCTTGACGGCTTGACATCTGGCTCAGGGCGCTGCCAACATACATCTGCAAAGCAGGCGTCCCGCTGTCGTACAGAAGGTAAGTCGTAGTTCCTCCGAACCTCACCTGGTCCAGAACTTCGATGTTCTGCGGAAAGGAATTGATGGGCGTGCTGCCACTGGCTGCTACGGCGGGAACAGTGCAGGCAAACTGGTGGACACCTCCGGACACATGGCCTTGGCACACAGTCCGGATACTCCGTTACTGAGTGGTAACAAGTCGACATGAAGCCGAGCTGCACGTGCATTTGGCCTGATTTGTGCCTGCACCCGATGCTGCCAGTGAGAATGCGTTCGTCCCATCTGAGACTGTAGCAAGATTGGAACCTGACAGCATTTGCAGTCAAAACATTGCCTGTATCCGCGGAATATGAAGGCGAACAAAAGATTTGTCTTGCAGCCATGGAGCCAGTGTTTAGAAACGAATATTCCATCATTCCGCTTTGAGAATTCACGTCAATCTTGTAGAAGTAATCACAGTTTGTCAGTGTCAAGCTTACTGCGCCCCCTGATGTATCAATGATCCAGCAGGAGGGGCAGTAGCTGAATCCACTACCACAAACACGCCTTGGATGAGCTGCGGCCCCAATCCCAAACAGCAAGCACGGGTGCACCCTGGACCCGCGACGTCAGTGCAAGCTGCTGGCTGATGTCATACGTTGAGTCAGTGGAGACTGAAATGCACTCCTGGGATTCGTCATCATGCAGGCTGTGACATTCTAATTGGTGCAAGGGCCAGCAGCTGCTCATGCCGTCCAGACTCTGACGAAGGGTTGGAGCTCAGAAGGGCATCCGTGGTATAAAAGACTACGGGCGTCACAGACCTCAGTCCCAGGCGGCCCGTGCTCCCGTGCCACACAGCGAGCGAAGAAATGAGCACATGCAACAGCTCAGCCGCCAACGCGTCGCACGTCAGAAGGTTTGATGTGATACAACTGCACCTGAAGTTGTACTGGCCACACTGGTCGCTAGCACTACTCAAGGCAACCGCCATTCAATTCGCAGCTAGGACATCTAAGCCGCACGCACAATAGTCGAACCTTGCCCACACCCAGAAAGCACCAACAACAGTAGCAATGCAACCCCAACCTGAGGCAAGGCTCGGGCCTCTGTGGCCGGAGCGAGTCACCATGTAGCTATTGGTGCCATCTGAGACAACCGCTGCACCATACCCAGTCTTAGCTTGTGGCATGCCAAGTGCTGCCCGAGAGCATGTCACAGAACATGCCAGCGGCATCAGACTCAAGCAAGCAGCATTGACAAAGGTAAACGTCGAGAACACGGTCAGGGAGAGGCTGCTCAGCGCGGAGTTGAACTCCTCAAAACATCATAGCTCAATGGCTGGGAAGATGCCAGGATGCGAATGGAAACTTCAGCTGCGGCCAGGCAGCTGAGCTGAGACAAGAGGAAATCGTCAGGTAGATGGCACCAAAGTTCTTGGATGGCACGGTGCATCAGCTGTGCCGGGCCAATCAGCAACCAGGGATGGTGAACAAGGGAGGCCCCTGCCAAAAAGCAGCCCCGAGTGCATTAAGATCCGAAGCTCGCAAAGATGGAGGACGGTGCATTTTCCGCCCCTGAAAAAGCTTCTCCCTTGGAACCTCCCAATGATGGGGACTGGATCAACTTTGCCCTTGAAGAGGATCTACATTGTGGGCAACAACAATCCAAAAGTGGGAGGCCAATGAGAACAGACCAGTCCGATGCATCCAAGGCTCAGTGTTCATCAAGAAGCCTTGCACCGATGCTGAAATGCCATGCGATTTCGGGCTGGGGAATTGTCGTCCGGGCGACGATGTGTCAGTCTCAAGCGACACTGCGACTTTCTGCAAGAAAGCTGCAGGGGGGGCACAACGCATTGGTGCACGACGTCGTCCCAAACGTAGATGCCATATCTTTTGTATAGGTGCCGTCCAGAAGCGTAAACTCAGCAGTCTCCAGCTACCCATGCTTGCACAAGCGCGCAGGGAATAAACGTGCAGAGGCAAGCATCACACTCATTGCATCAGAGTACACATCCTGTCTGGAAGAAGTCCGAGGTTGTGGTCAGATAGCTTGCCTGAGTGAACTGTGCGCATGGCAGTCTTGCTCCTCCCAATGCATGCCAGCAGAATCACACGTCAAGTGCTTGCTGGACGAATAAAAGGGTCGAGATTTAATTTGGGAATTTGTTTTTTTTTATTTTGGGATTTTTTTGTGTTTTCCGTCCTGGCTACAAAAATGCTGTAATTTACAGCATTTTCTCGCGAAATGTACGTATTTTACTCTAGTCCGTCAACATCATCAGCATCGTTTTCAACATCCCCCGCATGTCCAGCCAACATCCCCAGCATCACCAGCAAATTGGCTTCCCGCATCTCATGGTAAAAGTGAGGATTCAAATACGGGCAAACTAATCCCTGTAAAACACCTAAAACGTGGCGGCAGCCCCCCCCATGATGATTGAAAAAGTGACGACGGCAGCCCCCCCCATGATGATTGAAAAAGTCTAAAAAATTGCGGGGGGGTTGGGGGCGGCGGCAGCCCCCCCCATGATGATCGAAAAATTAAGGGCAAAGAATCTAAAAAGGATCGGTCGCATGATGATCGAAAAAGTGATGATTCAATTCGGGGCAAAAAGTCCAACAAATAGCGGGGGGGTTGGGGGCCCCCATGATGATTGAAGAAGTGATGATTCAATTAGGGCCAAGAAAATATATATAAAAAAAGCAGCCGGGGGTCATCAGTTCCTCTGCGGCAAGGCCTCATGGTACAAGTGAGGATTCAAACACGGGCAAACTAATCCCTGCAAAACACCTAAAACGTAGCGGGGGGGGGGGGGGGGCGGCAATTCCCTCCATGATGATTGAAAAAGTGATGATTCAATTAAAGGCGCGGGGGGGTTGGGGGGGCGGCAGCCCCCCCCATGATGATCGAAAAAGTGATGATTCAATCAGGGGCAAAAAGTCTAAAAAATTGCGGGGATCGAAAAATTAAGGGCAAAGAATCTAAAAAGGAGCGGTCGCATGATGATCGAAAAAGTGATGATTCAATTAGGGGCAAAAAGTCCAACAAATAGCGGGGGGGTTGGGGGGGGCGGCAGCCCCCCCATGATGATTGAAGAAGTGATGATTCAAAAAGGGCCAACAATATTTAAAAAAAGCAGCCGGGGGTCATCAGTTCCTCTGCGGCAAGGCCTCATGGTACAAGTGAGGATTCAAACACGGGCAAACTAATCCCCACCCATGATGATGATGAAAAAGTGATGATTCGAATTAGGGGCAAAGAATCTAAAAAGTAGCGGTCGCATGATGATCGAAAAAAGTGATGATTCAATTAGGGGCAAAAAGTCCAAAAAATCGCGAGCCCCCCCCATGATGATTGGGATGATTCAATTAGGGCCAAGTATCAGCTCATCAGTTCCTCTGCGGCAAGGCCTCATGGTACAAGTGAGGATTCAAATACGGGCAAACTAATCCCTGTAAAACGGCAGCCACCCCCCCCCATGATGATCGAAAAAATAGGGGCAAAGAATCTAAAAAGTAGCTGTCGCATGATGATCGAAAAAGTGATGATTCAATTAGGCGTGCATTTTAATCGAAAGGGGGGTGGCGGGGGGCCCAGAGAGGAACTTGCGATGCTGATAGCCCCCCCCATGATGATTGAAGAAGTGATGATTCAAAAAGGGCCAACAAATATATTTAAAAAAAAGCAGCCGGGGGTCATCAGTTCCTCTGCGGCAAGGCCTCATGGTACAAGTGAGGATTCAAACACGGGCAAACTAATCCCTGTAAAACACTTAAAACGTAGCGGGGGGGGGGGGGGGGCGGCAATTCCCTCCATGATTGCGAAAGGGTTTGAAACAGAGTTTCGGGAGAGAATAAACAGGCCCAATCCCACCAACAAGAAGAGATTGTTTAAGTCCCCCAGTCCCAAGGGCAAAGCGGTGCCCTCGGCTGGCACAACAAACGAACCAAAACAGGGTGCCTTTAACCAAGAGATGAATGAACCCAGCAAGGGCAGAGACAACCGAAAGCAAGCACAAAGCAGCAAACCAAGCAGGCAAACAATGCAGCGAAGCAAGCAAAGCAAACCAGAGCGCGACCCTACCACCCCAAGTCCTGACCCACAGCCAGCCGGCCCCACACCGCCGGCTGGCGAGCCCGTGGTGTCCTTTTCCACGAATTTCCACGAGACCGCCGCGGCGCCGTGCGCGGGTAGTTGACGCTATGGCAAGATTAGGATGCCGTAAGGAAAAGCTTGAGCCAAACGGCGCATTGGCCGTGGCGTTGAAACATGTTGCGATAAAACTACATGCCCCCAAAAACACCCCCCTCGCCTGTACAAAGAGAAGGAGTGAATTTGGAAGGGCGCATTGGCCATATTGAAGTTGAAATGCAATAAACAAGACAAACAAAGCCGATTAGGCTACCAGGGTTCGCGACCCCATACCCGGGCACTCATTGGTGCCCGGATCCCGCCACCACCCCGAATTGCGGGTATGGGGCGGATTCTCGCCGGTAGCCAAATCAAACAAGAGAAAGCAACAAAAGAAAAGAACAAAGGATCAACTTCGGAATGGCCGGCATGAAGCCAAAGAATGGTTATTTGCATTGCAACCACATTGAACCATTCGATTCAAGTGGATTTAATTCTTAATCATCAGATTAGGCGCATTGGCCAGTTGGTTGAAACATGGTGCATAGACCAATGAGCTTTGGTTATAAATTAGCACCGTCTAGGCGCGCGATCACTCGAGGACAATCGCCATGGATACTACCAGCAGCGATCCGCGGTTCAGGTCCGAGTAGGACAACACCGGCAGCGGTGCGGGGCACCCGCGATCTTCACCTCGGCATCTTGATGAGCACCATCACCAGCGGCAGCAGCGGTACGGGTGGATGCAGATCACCAGCGGCCATAGACGCCGCCGAGAGTGACTGCCTCGCTGCGGCGATGCACACCTGACAGGTCATCGCAGCTTGCGCGAATAGCGCACAGCTACGCATGCAGTTGACTTCTGAAATGGCGAATAGCCCAGACAAAGAAATACTACAAGGAGCATAGTCCATCTTGTGAATTCCGGAATGAAAGCATGCGCGCGTTGGCGCAGCCGTGCAAAACGTATGGACAGACATCAGGTATCACCGATGTCGTCCACCGCCGTGCCGCCCCTTCCCCTTGCTGACATTCCAGTCCCCAGGGGGAGGAGGCACTGTCTCGGCCAACTCGTCATCGTCGCCCCAGGTAGGGGTATGCGGCGAGTTCGGATTTTCGAACTCGCGGGGATCACCCTGCATATGCGGCTGCCAACCCTGCGGCATTGCGCCAGGCCACATTTGTGGCATCATGCCAGCCATGGGCTGTTGCATGTATCCTCCCATTGGGAAAGTGGGATACATCGGGCTCGGAAACGGGAAAGGGGCAGCCTGTGCACCCTTGTACCCCGACCCGCGAGCATCAGGCTGATACCCGCGCGGGAGTTCTCGATCTGGCGGATCCGCCACGACCGAACTGCCCTTGTTGGTAGCCGTATTGGCCACCCTTGCCTTTGTACTGATCACCCTTGTGACCCTTTCCTGGAAACTGGTCACCCTTGTGACCTCCGCCCTTGGGCCAGGACTGCGCAGGGGCTTTGCCCTTTTGCTGATCTCCCTTTGACCTGGATTCAGGTCGCGGGGTAGCAGACCGTTGGTCTCCCCTAGGAGTGGCTGCCCGCCTATGGTGCTTCCCAGCCGGCGGGTCAGCAAAAACAATGGCGCATTGGCCGTCGCGCCGTGCAGCGGGGACCATGTCAACCTTGTTGTCTTCGACATAAATGTATGCCTCAGCATACTCAATTGGGGCCGTGATGGATCCACCACTGGCCCGCAGAGAGTCGATACTCCAATCAAGAACAGTGGAGGCATCGAAACTCGGGTCTTCACTATTGAAGTCCGCGAGGCGTCGCTCAGCCTGTACCAATGACATTATGATGTCCGCGCGTGAGGCGCCTAGGCCATACAGCGGAACCAAATATCCGTCCTCAATTCCGATGCGGTAGGCATCAAAAATATGCACAGAGAGGTAAAAGGGCAAATGCTGAATTTAGACTGCCCTTTCTCGTCATATGACGACCCCATTGCGCCGCCTGTTGCGGGTGCTCGATTGAATATGTCACGACAGACATATTGTCGGGAATTGGGACGCCAGTATTGCTCTCCTCGATGAGCAGCTGTTTCGCTACCCACCGCTCGAGAGCCTCATCACTCGCACGCACACAAGCGTGAGTGTCCTTTGAGGTGACCTTTGCAACCTCCTGAAACGCAACTTGCACAACATCCGCATTGGGATTGTGCACAAGGTGCGGCGCACAGCGCAAACCGGAGATCATACAGCTGACCACCTCGCGGATCGGGTTTACCGATGCCATGAGAGGAGCCCACGCGTCGGTCTCCCCTTCATACCAGCTGCTGGCACGGACTGCTTTGAGTCCGTCTAACCAGACTGGCTGCCCACTCCTAACCAGGGAGCGGACGGTGCCAGGCACCCACTCACGATAGAAAATCGGCAGATGGCAACCATTGCATAGAATGGTGCCATACATATTCAAATGCGCGCACCGAGGGCACCAGTAGTCATGCATGGGAGCTTTGTCCCATGAAAATGACACCCCTCTCCGCGGTCCCTGAACATTCAACTCACGGACCGCCCAGGGACGGATGTATATTACATCCCCTTCCTGGTGCAGATAGCATGCGCGCCAGAAGGGCGCATGTATCTCCTCTCGCACAGCGATCAAACCGCGTCGGGTTTTGTAGATGCCGGCGGCTTCCTCGATGGCCATCCACTTTAGGTCAACGGCCACGACGACATGGCGCTTGTCCATGTATTTGACGCGATCGTCAACATAAAATTCGCCCTCATTATTGGGGCTTGGCAACTTGAGGAGAGGCACCTTTGCGCCCTCCATCCCAATCATGATCTCCCCCCTGCAGACCTGCTCAGGCCGCATGGGAAAAACCGTGATGGCGAATTTGCCGGGCCTCCGGATGCACCTCGTTTTGAGGGCGGACCGATACTCGGCCATCGTCAGCAGCA